GTGGTTCAGGATATTGAGGAGTTGTTCAAAATTCCAAGAGGTAATCTATTGTTTCTCTTCTGAACATTTATAAAAAAATAATGTTTTACTCTGTAGGGTACGTAGGTTTCATCGTATGAAAGTGTCACAATATTTTACTCAACAAACGTTTGCCTTTCAGAATTTGGTTGGAAGAGATGCTTGACAAGGACCACTGTGGTAGTGTGTTGCATCATTGTTGGAGAAACAATTCCAGAATTTGACAAGATTCTCTCGCTGATCGGTGGATCTACGATAACTTTGCTTACATTCGTGTTTCCTCCTTATTTCTACAAGAAGCTGTGTGACAGAGAAGAACCTGGATGGGACAGAGTAAGGTAAGGTTTGATCTTGGACGATTCACCTACTATGTTCAATATTTGATACCTTTGATTTTCACTCTTGGAAGCTTTAATTAGTGACCATCGGCTTTTGACTATCAACCTTTCATTTTTCGTTATTGACCTTCGACCATGGACCTTTAATAATCGATATTTTATCAAAGTCCTTTCACCATCAACCTTTGACCATTGATAGTTAACCGTTAAGCTTTGATTTGACCGTAAGCTCGGAACTTCTTGTGACTTATAGGACTTGGGATTTGGGATTTACAAGACTAAATCACCCATGACTAGTGACTCGTGACGATCTCTGACCTTTAGCGTTGAATTAAGACTTGGGACCTTTGACATTTATTCCTTGCTGCTTGATATTTGACATATGACCTTATGCCTCTCATCTTTAACCTTGAACTTTGAGCCTTGGAGCTTTGATTTGACCGTTAGCTCGGAACTTCTTGTGACTTATAGGACTTGGGATTTGGGATTTACAAGACTAAATCACCCATGACTTGTGACTCGTGACAATCTCTTAAATTTAGCGTTGAATTAAGACTTGAGACCTTTGACATTTATTCCTTGCTGCTTGACATTTGACATATGACCTTATGCCTCTCATCTTTAACCTTGCACTTTGAGCCTTGGAGCTTTGATTTGACCGTTAGCTCGGAACTGCTTGTGACTTATAGGACTTGGGATTTGGGATTTACAAGACTAAATCACCCATGACTTGTGACTCGTGACAATCTCTTACCTTTAGCGTTGAATTAAGACTTGAGACCTTTGACATTTGTTCCTTGCTGCTTGACATTTGACATATGACCTTATGCCTCTCATCTTTAACCTTGCACTTTGAGCCTTGGAGCTTTGATTTGACCGTTAGCTCGGAACTTCTTGTGACTTATAGGACTTGGGATTTGGGATTTACAAGACTAAATCACCCATGACTTGTGACTCGTGACAATCTCTTACCTTTAGCGTTGAATTAAGACTTGAGACCTTTGACATTTATTCCTTGCTGCTTGACATTTGACATATGACCTTATGCCTCTCATCTTTGACCTTGCACTTTGAGCCTTGGATATCTGACTTTGCGTCTTGAACCTTGATCTTAGACATTGGACTTTATATTGAGGACCTTTGACAAGTGACCTTAGATCATTTACCTTGCATTACTGACTTTTCCACCATTAACCTTTGACAATTGATCTTGAACTTTTGACCATTGACCTGTGACTTTCGACATTAATTGATCCTTGGGCATTATATTCTGAATGTTGGCCATTGGAATTGACTTGTTTTGAGTTAGGACTTATAAGATTAATGACTTATGATTTGTGAGTCGTAACTTGTCGTATATGACTCGTGACGATCTTTGACGTTTGACCCCTGACCTTTGGTGTTAGACCTTTGACGGTTGAACCAAGACTTGTGACCTTTGGCAATTATCCTTTGCTAGTTAACATTTAGCCTTGACCTTTTACTTTGCACCTTAGTCCTTGAATATTTGACTTTGCATCTTGAACCTTTGGTCTCAGACATTGGATCTAGGACATTTGACAATTGACTACTGCCCTTTCATAATTGACCTCAGATCGTTGGTCTTTTACCTCTAACCTTTTTACCATTAACTTTTGACAGTTATACTTAGACTTTTGATCATTGACCTTTGACATTTGACCATTGAGAATTGGATTTTGTCCATTGACCATTGAAATGGACCGTAGGCTCTCACAACTTGTGACTTGTTGTGACTTAGGAGTTAGGACTTGTGACGAATCATTAATGACCTTAGACATTGGATTTTGAGTCTAGGAGCTTCCAGCACTGGCCTTTTGTAATTGACCTTAGACCTTTGGATAACTAACTTTTTACCATTGACATTTGACAAACGATCTTTGACTTTTGATCATTGACCTTTGACCTTCAACATTTGACCATTGATCTTTGAGTATTCGATACTGACCGTTAACTGGCACTAATAGTGCTTCATTTTCTGGTTCCAGACAAATTCCCCTCTTTGAGAGAATCTACATTTGGAACCTCATCTTAATCGGAATACTCGGTGGAGCAGCTTCAACCTTTAGTGCAATCAAGGCCATAGCAGCTCAGGATAGCTTCACGAAGCCGTGTTGGTGGCACCTGTTCAACGATATCAGCGAAGGATCTCCTACGGATATTGATCAACATGTTGCTCAAACTCATCCTGTGAGCCAGTTGGCGCCTTAAATAATCAATTTTTGTGATATACTGATATATGTGATATTATATTGCCCAGTTACATAATATGTTATATGTTCATTTTGTAACTGTATGTATATCATTTATTATGAAAAGAATTTTGTAATAAACTGTATTTATTTACACATTTTTGGTTCTAAATCACGGGGATTCCAAGAAGCTCATTTTACAAAACAAAATCGTGATCACAAAGCTTCATTTTTCGCCGCAGCGAGGTACAGCACTCACACGCTTCAGTCTCTCGGCAACCGTCGGCGCAGCGGAATGTCTAGGCGTTCACGGCTCCGTGCAAAGCTCTATTCGGTTTAGCTACTTTTTTTCAGTAGTGGTGTTCACTATAGGATTATCGATTGTCTATCAGTATTGCTATGGTATTTTAGTCTTGTGACGGGTGTGTCAAGTGTCTCCAAAGTGGAAATTAGGTCTACCTCCAGCTCTTCTGAGGGAAAGAGGATATCTGTGCAGCAAACTAGGTGATACTCAATTACTTGTGTGTTAGGGTTGACATCCTATGTTTTTTAAATAACTGGCGCACATTGCATAGACTGAGATATTAGTCCTATACTGAGGTATTTCTCAATCGGCAGATCAATATTAGTCAAAGATTCACTTCCAAAGCGACTCATTTTCACTACATGAGCTGACTAGCATTGCTTAAAAACAATATTACAAAATCTAGCCTAGCGTCGTTTTCATGTGTCCTAGAAGGCCATAATTACTTGTTCTCAAAGGTATTGTAATTTTTGCTGGTTACAACAGCTGTCAAGTTTTGCCGCGGTTAGACTGGAAAAAAATGCTGACGACTTGATTTTTCTTCGTCTGATACAATTAATCTTAGCAGTGACGATTGAGGTTTTCTAGGGTTTTCCTCGCCCAAGTGCGAATGCAGTCACTAAAAAAACCATATTCCCCTACTAAATAGAGAAAATGAAAATCGTACTTCTTCTATTAGTGATCATGTAATTTTCGATCAAATACTTAATAAATATAGTTATATTATAAAACATCGTTTTTCCAATTGTTGGAGGAAGTCCCGCATTCAAAAAGTATTTTATCCTATAAAAGTGGACATTTATAAAAGTGTTCAGAGACATTTACGTTCCGCTGCATAGACGCCAGGCGACGCAAAATGTAAATACAAGCTTTTTTTTAGTATTTTTGGTAAACATTATTTTATGCAAAGCTTCTTTTTTTATAACATTCTAGCAAAATTGTCCGATGAGCTGGCAACGCAGCGATCCAGGTGGCAAGAATGACAAGATCAACTGCCAAAACGTATGTCTATCCCGGGGTGACGACGGCGTCATATAAATCAAATTCAAGCGGATAACCAAATGGAAATGTTATTTACCATTTTGGGTTGGTATTTACCAATCCGTTCAAGCGAGTGTAGTTATCAGTTTGGTTATAAGATCCGTGACGTCACGAATCAGCTGTTATATGTCATAGTTATCACTGCAAAATTGTGGTATTTACCCAACTCAAGAGTAGTTTTATATTTCTGGTTATTATTTGAAATGTGACAAGTTAGAATTTTGCCGGGTTTTGGATATTGTACTTCAGCTTCATTTCTGAGAAAAATGATACAGGCTGAATTCAGTTTTACCATAAAGGGGAGCACCTTATTAGTTATACTCATTACGGTTGTTGGTGACACTTTAAATGTAGTTCCTATGCTTAACAAAGTATCCTGTGTAGCCATATACCACAAGAATATTAAAATATGGGCATATAAACTCACTAGATGATATCCACTTGTATACGGTTTTGCTCATTTCTTTTTTCATCATTTCTGCTGAATCAATAAATGTTTTCTTTGACATGCGGAAAAATTTAGAGAAATTAAAGTTATCATAGCTACAAAGCCATGGTTCCATCATTAAAAAAAAAATCTGAAAAAACATTTCTCCCATGAATATTATGAAAGGTTTCTTATTTAAACTTTCCATGTAGACGAAAAAGCACCGATTATTAAGTGATAATAAAAATAATCAGAGATTATATAAGCGCTTTTCTAAAATAAACAACTTGCAACAAAACCGCGGTTAAAACCAACGCGTTCAAGCGATTCGTGTAACTGACGTCATCAACCCGTGTGTCATCTTGAACCATATTATAACCGCGGCACATAACACAGAAATTTTGGTTATTCGCTTGGATTTGATTATAGTACGTTAAAGAGGCAGTTTTTCAATCTTGATTTACATTTTTCGCTACGGATCGTCTTCTAGAGTATAGTAGAGTATATTTCAATACTTGTCTGGCGTCGCCATGTCATCTTTACTTACAAATTCATCTATCTATCGAACTGGTTTGTAGCCACCGTTAGCATAAAAGCGGAACGCACTCCTAAAAAAAAGGGTTGGCACCACTGGTAACGCTTAAGAGTGACAACTGACATAAGTCAGACGTCGAACGAAAGAAGCTGCTTCTAAGCGAATGAGGCTCATCGATTTTTGTCGAATTTTTGTAATTTGCAATCGATAATTTGGGTTTTCGCACAACAGAGAGCATCAGTGATATTCAGAGTGCGTTTCCAGTCGATTTGCTGTAAGCCGAGACGTTCAAAAAACCGTAAAAATGGCTATGACATCGTCCCAAGTGAAGGCAAGGGAGCAGCAAAACAATATGGCCAATCTTGCCGGTAGTGGAACAGGATGGCCGCGAAGAAATAGTCAAAATAACGCCGTTACACCCGTTCCAAACCCAAATTTCGAGGTGAAACCGAATTTCGAAGTGAAGCCACAATTTCCTATCACACCAGCCATTAATCGCATCATTAATTTGTAAGTATTTTTATTCTCGAATACGACATACTGCACGATGCTTTTTGTTGCTGTTAACGTTGTCATTGTCAAATCATTTCATCTCAAGATTCATACATAAAAAGTACATTAATCAATTCTGCAGCACATTGGCATAAACTTTGCCTGGGAAATGGTCTAGTGAAACTGCTTTGTTGAAAATTTCGTAATACAGTGAAATTAGACATAGATCCTTGATCATTGTAGTCTCAGGTTTTTTGTGTAAGAAGTTGGTATAATGTAGGTTGGAAACAGATTTTAATAGACAATAGATCAAGGTAAGGATAAAAGGAATATAGAAAATTATAGTACAAGAAACAAATTTTACATTCTCCTACTCAAAGAATTTGAGATTACATAAACCTTATTGCGTTTAAGATTTGAAGTATGTTCTCAGAGTTTTCAAGGACTTTTGGATTATTCACAACCAGTGACACTGTCTTTCTTTTTGAATTTATTCACTAAAATTGTATAAATATTGTGAATAAAGTGATTATTTATTAATATCCCTCTCCATGGTTCTCATTCATTAGTAATAATAATAGCTTTTATTTAACATGGTGTCAGCTAAAAGCTGCTTTTCATTCCAATCAGGACCAAACAAAATTACCAACAAACACCAAAATGCTAAGATTTACAACAAAAGTTATAGTTAAACAACGTAAAAGGTGAGATGTGGAGAAACAAGTAAACAGTTGTTTCAAATAGGCAATAGAATAAAAATAGGGAAAATGTCAATTCCAACTGAAAAAATCTGATATACTTAGAGTTAACAAAGCTACCATTACACATTCCCAATTAATAGGATTTTTAATGTTTTTATTATTTATAATTATTGCATTTGCATACTTTGAAGATGCTTTTTTTTCTGTAGGTATCCTTTGACAAATTACATATTTGGAACAAAAGAGCCTCTTTTCGAAAAAGATCCCAGTGTTCCGGCAAGATTCCAGAGAATGAGAGATGAGTTTGAAAGGATAGGCATGAGGCGTAGTGTTGAAGGTGTACTTTTAGTGCATGAACATGGCCTGCCACATGTTCTGTTGTTGCAGTTAGGAACTACATTTTTCAAACTGCCAGGTGGAGAGCTGAACCCTGGCGAAGATGAGGTAGAAGGGTTGAAAAGACTTCTCACAGAGGTATGTGATTATGGTTTAGATCTACTATTCGAAGATTGTAGTTGATGAATAATGTTATTTATGATAATTTTGATGTTATCTTTTTTGTTTAATGAAGACTGGATAATACTGAGTTCTATGATTATTTCATTATACCTCAAGATAGTCAGCCTAATGCTAAATTCCCACATAGAAAGAAAATTATTTGAGATGAAATGAGTTAGTGTCATATATGAGAATTTTTCACTGCTGTTTCTCTATTTAGTATATTTACTTTCAAAAGGCTAGTGTCTAGATGGTGCAGAATCCAAATATATGACCTTTTCAAAATATAGATAGTAAATGGAGAAACAGCTTATCTCATTTTATCTGGGATCAATTTTTGGGTGCATGAATATAGCATTAGGCTATCTTTGGGTAAAATATGTTGATCATTGGTTGTATATGTGATTAATCGTTCTATATGGGCTTCAGTTATGTAATTTCTATAAATATGTTGATAAATATATAAAAAGATGAAATGTTACTCTAATACAAGGGTAGGAATATCACTTCTAAAAAGATTGTGAACAAATAGGTACCTCATGTTTTGAAAATGCAGATGTATAATTCATATTTTTTATACTGTGTTTGATGTGGAATCTAAAAAAAATTAGAACTTTGAAAATATAGTTATAAAGTATAATTTTACCTTGATATTGTGCTTGATAGTATAATCTCATATGGGCTTTATTGAATATTTGTGAATATATGGAACTTGCACTTTAAAAATAACTAAAACATTAAGGGAAAGGATTATGTATAAAAAGCTAGAATTGGGATAAGCACAAGGGACTCAAGTGGTATAGTGTATCAAATCTCAAAATATTAAGAATTTAATATGTTAAAAACACTTATATTCTTTGTGCTCTATTTAATGATTAAATATATTGATAAAAAATTAGCAAAAAATGAGAATTTCAATATGTCATATTTAGTGATACAGAAATCTGTTACTATAAACATGACCTTGTTATATAGATGCTTGTTTTATCTTTATGTAGATATATAAAAAATACTGGAAGAATTTTTTGAGGCTATTTAGAAAAGTTGAAATGTGATGTGCCTTTGAATAGCTGTTTTTATTTTTGTTTATTATTTGGTATGTATATTAATATGTGCTGCTTCTACATCCAAGGTTATTTTAATGATACATTATTTGGACTTTTTATTTTGAAATTCTTCCTTTGAAGCAGAGTGTCATTGTTCTGTTGGAATGAAAATCTTCAAAAATTGTATCATGAGTGTACAGATACTTTGTTGCAATATTTTGGTACATGCTGGTTTTTGATGCAGTTTTCATAATAGAGTGTTTACTCAATGATAGCAGTATTTGAAGTTGATAATCCAAAACAAATTTCTAGTGAAGTTCAAAAAGTTTAAGTAATTTGAGTTTTCTATTTGTCCAGTACCAATTAATATTCACTTTCAAAAATTAAAAACTGATACTGCTGCTTTGGATTTTCAACTTTGATAAGACTTGCAACATATTTCCACCATTATGAAGGATAAATAGTATGTATTTCCAAGGTAACTGGTTATAAAAAATATATCCATTTTTTCTACAAGATACAAGTCTAGCACAAAAAGGTGGTGGTACATTCTATAATTATTTTATTTAAAAATCCTTTTACCAAAGACTGCAAAAACCCTAAAAAATTAACTTGTTGGTTTTCAAATAAAAATAAAATTTGTGCTGGACATGGTATTACAAAGGTAACATAGTTGAAGCATTGTACATTGGCTTGGGATTCAAGTATTTTTATATTGACATGCTGCTTAGTAATATCACTGTAATGCAATGTGTACCATTGTTAAGTAGTATTCTACTGATATTTATTAAAACCGTTGTTAATTCATCATGAAAAATTAACATTGTAATTGAAGAGAATGAAAAAAGAAAACATTGACATAGATTTTTAGGTCCTCTTTTGTGTTGTTTTTTTTTTGTAACTTTTTTCCATAAATGGAGACAATATTTCAAGATCTCACTTTCCACATGATCAGAATCCTCTATTATATACAAACCTTTTTGTGCTTATTCATCCCTACTAATATTATAATGATATAAAATAGCTGAATAAAATCTGTTACAGAGATAGATTATAGTCTGGAATAGTCTACTATTTATCATGGGAAACAACTTTGAAATATCCATTTTGTGCCCAAACAGCTTAATGAAATTTGACCTGAGCGTAAGCGTTCAGTCGCTGGTCCGACCGAAATGACTAAGTGTATAGCGTTCAGTCACTGGTCCGACCGACATGTCAGCGTGAGCGTCTCGGTTTAGATTTGTTTGGCGTTTTTTTTTTACTGTATTGTTTGTGGATATGTTTCTTTAGAATTTTTGAAAGCATGAGTAACAATCTAATAATAAGATTTAGACTGTTTATGGTGGTATCTTTCTCTGAAAAAAATTAATTATATGACTGATATGAAAGAAGGTTGCAGGAAGACTTTGATCATAATGAGTGTCAGTTTCCTTTGAGGTCATTGACAAAATACTTTTATGTGCTCTAACCTGAAGCAATCAGAAATGATGGAAGCAAATTTTCTAATTTTTAAAAAATTATAACCTCTTCACAAAGATGTTTGATTGCACGTAAATACAGAGTTGTTATGTTTTAATCAAAATGTTAAAACAAGTGTTTTAAACACTGTTTAAAACAATGAAGGTGTTTTAAACCAACTTGCTTAAAACATGATTTAAATACTGTTTTTTTGTCGTTTGTGAATTATTCAAGATTTTTTTATATTTTTTAGTATGATTAAAATTTGATTTTATTTTGTAAAACGAAGGCCATATGTTAAAACACATAGGTACTAAAAAATATACTTTATTTTTTATTAATTAATCAAACATGAAACTAAGGAACTAATACAAGTGGAAAAAAAATATGTTTCTTAATAATGACTGAAATTAATAAACTGCATTTAACTCGAATACTAGTACACTGCAAGCAGCAGCATTATATGATTAATATGCCTATGTATTTACTTGTATAATAACAACTGGATCAAAAATAGTATTAACACTTTCAAGGAACTTGATCAACATTACTTACACATTACAATCTTTTTTTTTTACTGTTTTAAACATTTTAAATGTTTTTTTTTTTCAGTTAAATTTGAATGTTTTAAACAAAAAAACATGAATTTTTTTTAACATGTTTTTTCAACCCTGCGTAAAAATGTTCAGAAACTTGTGAAGCATACAAAACAAACTTTGGGACGATCTTAAAGCTATATTAATTTTTATTCATTGCCATTTTTACGATTTTCAAAAATTTATACTCCATTTTACCCTCCATAGAGTAGCCTCAGATTTAGACTAGTCGACATGTCGATCATTTGAATCAAAAAACATTTTCTGTAACTTATGTATAAATATCATTTTTGATATAAATAATGTGAAATGATTTTTACCTTCACATTAGTTTTTCACGATTATATGATTTCTATCATCTAGATAAGTTTATATTATACGAGGGTTGTTTCAAAAATAAGGTTCCCACACTGTTTCAGGCACAAGGAATTTTTATATTTGAAAAAACAAATTCTCCATTGGAAACGTTGATTGTTGAGCTATTTTTCTCCATAATCGCCATTTTTCCGCCACCACCAGCCCGTTTAGAAACTTGTTGACCGCCTAGGTGCTCCCTCAATTTCGGAAATCGCCAATTCATTGGATTAAGTTGGGAGACATGAGGATGAAAATTGTTTTAGTGCAGTCTTGCGCTTTGATTTTGAATTGCCCGTCTCAGTTTTTTCTGAAACCTCGGGAAATTCAACCGCCTGTTCGCCGATCTTCGAGCAAGATATGTTCAATCCTGACGGCGCCCTATTTTTGAAGCAACCCTCGTATAACGTCGAGGAAACGTCGCGATTTCGAAATTTTTGCCAATACTTCTTCGCCGAGCGGCGTACGAAGTAAAAAAGGTGTTTCAGCTATGTTAACTGACTTGATCGAGAAACTGTACAAATTGCATGATGTATAGAAAAAGGCGAAAATAAACGATTAAAAACCTCCTGTCTTTTCTGTGTCTGAGCGCGTTTCTGGCGTCGCTTCGTTATCTGCTCATGTCGAGTTGTTGCAGACCCTCGGGCGCTTGGACGGCGTCAAGCAAGACTGGCTGGTGGAAGACATCATCGGAAACTGGTGGAGGCCCAACTTCGAACCTCCTCAATATCCGTACATCCCGCCGCACATCACCAAGCCGAAGGAGCATAAGAGGCTATTCTTAGTACAGCTCCAGGAGAAGGGTATTGTATTTTATGAAAATATCGAATATGAAGAATGTATCTGTATGTGTATCTTGTCTGTTTTGGCTCTTTTTCAGCAGATGGTGAAAAAAGTATAAAAACGCCAAGCCGAACGCGTTTGTCGGGTTAAAGACTACGTAGTAATGTGTGCTTAATACACAGAATGCATTCAATCTGAAGTGTTTGAAGACAAAAGAAATAGAGCCAAAATAGCTGTAATTCTGTAAATTACGTTTTACAATTCAATTGATTCTGGTTCTTATTTAATTAAGAAATACCAAAGAATACAGAGTTACCAGTCGAAAAAACAGATTTTGCCGCGGTGGCCGAGATCTGGTACGATCACCCGTTCATTACCTGCCGCAATAGTCCAGGAAGTATCGTCGCGTTCTGATTAGATCTGTTGGACTACCTTAATGAAAACGAAAAACTGTTTTTGGCGCAATTTTAGGTCTGGCAATATGCAGATTCACTATAAGGCGTCTTTTTCGAATTGAGTTTGCGAAAAAACAATCAAAATATTTTTCTAAGCAGATGCGAAGATACTTCCTGTACTATAACTACCCAGATAGTCGATGGCTGAATGTGTGACTTTTTGTAGCTTTGTTGAATGTGTTAAGTTTTGGACGTCAGTTTCGCTTTACCTTGTGAACAGTTTTCTGCTGATCATTGTATTTCACTTTATACACAAGTTCGCATTTATTTTCAATTCAAATATGTCAAAAGGGATATAGTGGCTACCAGGCAAATAGGGCTAATCCTAAATTGAGAACATTAATCGTCTATAGATTTATCGAAATAAGTACCATCGGTCACCGCGAAAGTGAAAACATTTAGGTCATTTCGCGAGTGCCCGTTCTGCTTTCCACTTTGTATTCTTTGGAAATACCTTATTCGATTTCCTTGTATACGAAATAATTTTTCTAACTGAACCAGGATCAAATGAAAAGTTCCAGAGTTGATAACTCCACAATTTAGGCATTGTTTATATAGATTATCTTTTGTGATCATTTTTCAATAAATACACATAAACAGTGCTTATTTTTTCATCAATTATGAATTGTGCAGGGAGCCCGAGTTTGGTGACATAAAAACATGCCATCATGTTGACATCAAAAGTGAAGCCAAACACTAAATTATTACAACACTGTGCACAGTAAAATTTGGATAAATTACTTACTGGAGATTGACATGTTTTTATAAATATGCACTAAATAATAAGTTTTATGCTGTAATATTATTTAGATATCTGACCATTTTTATTTTATGAAAATGCGTTTAGAGTAGAAGTAGACTTGTAGGATAATGGTTTTTTTTCTGAGATATGCCTTCAACTAGCACTTGTAATGATAAAAATTATTATTCAAACAAAAGATTCGACATGAAAAGTTTTTAATACCTTCTTATCAACCCGATATTTGAGGGCATACTTCCATACCCTACACATGGAAAACGTTCTTCATTCAGAGAAGAATTGCTAAGTTTGCTAGCTTTGGGAATTCGTTGCCTATAATTTAGCAGTCAGTCCCACTTTAATTTTCTTGTTAAGAATATATCATTGTTCTGTGTTATGATGGCAGTAATTTAGTGTAGTTTCCAGTTTTTGTAAAAACCGCTTGTCTCATTTCATTTTGGAGAAATTTCGATAAGGTATACAAGGTCCTATTGCAATCTCACCTAAGTATTTCTAAAACTGCTCGTTCGAAAAAGAAGTTCTAAACAAAAGTTTTTAGGGGGTAAAATGATAGTGACCCTATGACCTTTAAGGTCCTTTCAAGGTCAAGCGAATCTCCCCTTTTCACGTCGGAATTGGTTAGAGGAACAAATTTTACGCTCAGACATTTCCATGGCCTTGACCATTGTCTTCAAGGTTAAACTGATGATGACCTTGACTACGACCTTCATGGTCAAGCGAACCCTCGTTTCCTCTTCGGAATTGGTTATAGGAGTAAATTTTACGTTCAAACATTACCTTACCCATAACCTTGACCATTGCCTCCAAGGTCATAGTGCTATTGACCTTGACTGCTACCATCTAGGTCAAGCGAACCCCCCTTTTTCACATCGTAATTGGTTACAGGAACAAATTTTACGCTTAAACATTGCTATGGCTTTGACCATTGTCTCCAAGGTCAAATGATGCTGACCTTGACTACAAACTTCAAGGTCATGCGAACCTCTTTTTCATATCGGAATTGGTTAGGGGAGCAAAGTTTACGGTCAAACGTTGCCATGGCCTTGACCATTGTCTCCAAGGTTAAAATGATGATGACCTTCACTACTACCTTCAAGGTCAAGCGAACCCTCTTTCACATCGCAATTAGATAGAGGAGCAAATATTACGTTCAAACATTACCTTGGATATAACCTTGACCATTGCCTTCAAAGTCATTACAAGGCCAAATCGACATCTAAAACAATCTAAAACCCCAAGGTGAACTTGACTGTGACCTTAGCCATGACCTTCAATGTATTCAAAGGAAACCTCTAATTTTTATACCGGAAATAGAAAAAGCAGGAAATTTTACTTTGGAATGTGACCTTGTCATGAAATAACATTGACACGACCTTGACTTTTTAATCAAGGTCACATTCGTGCATAAATTTAACCGGCTTTCCAGTTACAAAATGATAAGTTTCCCAAGAAAATTTTGACTTGACCTTGACAGTCATGGTCAAGGTCGCCTGTGGTTGATCCCACAAAACTAGAACAAAGTTTTTTCGTTTTGAATTTACCTTGAAATGGCCTTAAATGGAATATTCAAGTCATAGCCATACAATTAGCTCCTCTATTCAATTCTGATGAGAAAAATGGGGTTTTCCATTTGAAATTATTTGTTTGGCCTTGAAGTGACCTTGGACGTTGTAATCAAGGTCACCGTCATTTTGTCCCTCAAAACCGTACAGCTAATTTTTTTTCTCGAAGGCGTAGTTTTCGAAATATTTAGGTGGGAAGACCACAATGTGACATTGATTTTTGACCAGGAGATTCTAGAAGACATCTTACAACGCTGCTAAAATATGGGTAGCTATTGTATGAATGAACATTGAGTGAATTTTGTGTGAAATCTAATGTCACATGTATTCAATTTCATAAAAACCTAGAACATGATTGACGTTTGATCTCTTTGAGTGAATTTTATATGGATGTTTGATCAGGTTGTGTATAAATTTAAGATTTGAAAAAATAATATAATCGCGCATACTTATTTAAAGAAAACGGGACTTGTTAATTCGGCTTAAGCATGTCAATACAACTTTAGTTTCCACCTGCCTATGTTTCATTTATGATATGTATGTTTTTTTTTTGTTTTTCCCATGAGATTACCGTTAATACATGTATGCTTTCCTGAAAACGAACGTTGTACGTCTTTATTGTTAACTGATGTGCCTTATTTTTCAAAATTAAAACTTATTGAAGCGATCTGGATTAATATGCAGTTAAACTTCTACTGTATTGTTTTGAAACTCTAAGATAAGCGCGTTTTTATCCATATTTTCTATAACACCCTAAATTGAAGGTAAAAGTAATTTCAACTTCACTTTTTGTCAATCTGTAACACTAAATACTTTTACATCCAGTTTCTAATCCTTTTCTGTCTTCCTCAAACGCTGAAGTGACTGGCGCTACATTTTATTTTTCTTTTTACAGCATTATTCGCCGTACCCAAAAACTACAAACTAGTCGCAGCACCGTTGTTTGAGTTATATGACAATTCCCAAGGTTATGGCCCGATAATATCGTCATTACCGCAGGCGTTATGCAGGTAAGCTGATTTGCTGAGTGTACAACTTTAAGGCCCTTTCAAGTCCAAGCGAACCCCACCTTTTTACATCAGAATTGGAAAGAGGAGCAAATTTTACGTTCAAGCATTACCTTGATCATTGTCGTCACGGTCAAAATGATGATGACCTTGACTACGACCTTCAAGGTCAATTGAACCCCGTAGTTAACATCGGAATTGGAAAGAGGCAAATTTTACGTTCAAACGTGACCTTGACCATTCAAAGGTCAAAATGAACGTGACCTTGGCGGCGATCTTTAAGGCCAAGCGAACCCCCTTGTTACATCAGAATTGGAAAGAGGCTCAAAATGATGGTGCTCTTAACTACTACTTTTAAGGCCCTTTTCAAGGCCAAGCGTCGGAGTTGGAAATAGTAGCAAAATTTACGTTCAAACATTACCGTGGCCATGACATTGACCATTGTCTTCAAGGCCTTTCCAATGTCAAAATACAGGTAACCTTGACTACGACCTTTGATGTCCCTTCAAGGGTCAAGCGAACCCTCTAGTTTACATCGGAATTGGAAAGAGCAAAGTTTACGTCTAAACATTCTCTTGGCTATGACCTTGACCATTGTATTCCAAGGTCAAAATGTTGGTGACATTGACTACGACCTTTAAGGTCCTCTCAAGGTCAAGCGCTTGCCCTAGTTCACATCGGAATTGAAAAGATGAGCAAATTTTATGTACAAACATTACCTTGACTATGACCTTGAGCATTGCTTTCAAGGCCTTTCCAAAGTCAAATTAAGACATCGAAAATAATTTGCTCTAGCAAAACTGTTCGACAGAACAGTTGTGAGATTTGTAGGGATCACCCACAGGTGACCACTATGTCTTCGGGGTAAATATTTCCAAAGGAAACCTCTCAAAGACTGGAGATGGAAAAAGCAGGAAATTTTACTTCAAACTGTGACCTTGACCTTGAATAACATTAGGCTTGACACGACTTTGACTTTGAGGTCAAGGTCACATTCGGACGTAAATATTCCTGCTTTTTCCATTTGCAATATAGAAAATTAGTAAATTTTTTGTAGTGGTTAAAAATTGGGGGGTGGGGTTGTGTATATCTCAATTTTTCGACGTTTGTATAGTTATACGCCTCCAATATTTCTACGTACGTATGATGTCCCCGTGAATTTATCCGTAAAACTGCGCCGTGGTCCCCCGATGGACAAGCGTCGTCGTCGGTTGTCGTCCGTCACAGTCGGCAATCGCTTCCGCACTGCCGTGGACTGCGTGCACTGTGCGTGGTGAAGGTCAATATCGTCATTCATCGTTTTTATTTGTTTCAGGTTTCAATTCATCTACATGTGATTGGCGGATAGTACAAACAAAGTTCTCGCAGCATACGGTAATAAATATTACTCTTTTAGTTGCCTTTAATTCTGGGTATAAGGATATTATATCTACTTTCTGTAGCATATTGATCGAGTAGGCGTCTTATTTTCCAGTTCAACAATAACAAATATATTCTATTTTTTCAGGTGGTTACAATGGGTGATGTTAGAAATACATCATTTGGTCAGAATCGCAACGTTTGCATAATATTAAGATCTATATGTATTCTTTTTAATTAAAAGAGACCAGTTTTGTATAGTTAACAATTAACTATTTTAGTGCTATCACTAAAACCGTTTTCTGACAAAAAAAGTGTACGTAAATGTTTGACCAACAAATAATGACCTTCTTTTTGATGGACTTTTGACAAAAGACAGCTCACTTCACATAATTGTTTTGTCGGGACGATTCAGTTAATAAATAATAATAAATTTAGGCGATTTTGTATTTGAACACATCCTGTATGTCTATGCTTCCTTTTCCTGGCAATGAGGGTGTTAATAATTGAAAAAAGCTGCTTACAACGTTCCCGTGGTAAAATTAAAAAGTTTTCTTGGATCAATTTTAATTTGCAGCAATTATTTTTCTGTATTTCCGATTCTTCAGTCATGACAGAACCATTCTTGAATTGCAATAATTTTTTCTGATTTTTAGTGTGCTTGCTCATTGTTCCGCAAATTTATTTTCTTATCATTCCAATGAATGTTGCAGAGATACAGGGTGTTAAAAAACATATAACGCAAAATTTAACCAAACGTTTATTATAATTACAAAAATAAAATCTTCCATTTATGGATCGTGGACTTTCGTCATATTTACTTTCAGTTTCAAATATATTTTAAATTCACCAATTTTGTTAGCATCGGTATTTCCCGTCTTTTGCCTAAATTTCATCACGAAAAAGGTTTGATTATCCAAACTTGTCGATTTCTCTATAGTATTTTAGTACATACGTGTATATTATTCAAAAGAAATCTTAGAAGTAAGATTTAATGTTAGGGCTTTTGTAAGTTGAATGCAATAAAGATTGTGTTTTTATTTTTTATCTGATGCCGACTTGAGTGTCTTATTTTATCCCAGGAACAAATATGGTTGGTCGATTTGTTCCTCAGTCTAGGTTTCTCCCGAATAAGACAACAGGATTTTCAAATCAATTTATATTTACGACTGATTACAGATAAAACAAACCGGCCCCTTGACAGTATTCGTTTTTTCCTTATCGGCTGTAAGAGAACCTCGTGTATTTTTAAACATCAACGTTCCAAGGAAGTATCACCTCTCGAGCTGCTTTGTGATTATTCTAAAGATTGTGTGCTCAAAACTTCACATCAGTAGAAAAGGAAATCGTATAACCTGCAGCAAAAGTTTGAGATATGGCAACGCGGGCGCCTAAAGATGGTGCCCATTTTAACGCCCCCTAAATATTTCGAAAACTACGCACGTTCAGTGGAAAGGAGAACCACCATCATGACCTTCACCATTACCCTCTAGGTCAAGAGAATATCTTCAAATGGACCCCAATTTTTTTCAACTCTGAAATTTTAAATTCTGTGAATATGACAATAACCATCATGACCTTCAAGGCTACTTCAACCACAAAACAATTTGATCTAGTGAACATGTTCGACGGCCTGTTTGAAGGTGATCTTGACCTTGAGGGTCAAATCTAAATTTTCAAAGGAAACCACATTTTTATACCTGAATTGGGAAACGTTACGTTCTGATGTGATCTTGACCTTCAAGATTAAAGGTAACACCATTTTTATGCCGAAGTTGGGAAGCGTTGCGTACGAGTGTGACCTTGACCTTCAGGGTCGAATCTAAATTTTCAAAGGTAACCACATTTTTTATACCGAGGTTGGGAAACGTTGCGTCCGAATGTGACCTTGACCTTCAGGGTCTAGTCTAAATTTTCAAAGGTAACAACATATTTATACCGAAGTTGGGAAGCGTTGCGTACGAGTGTGACCTTGACTTTCAAGGTCAAGCCTAAATTTTCAAAGATAACCACATGTTTATACCGGAATTGGAAAACGTTGCGTCCGAATGTGACCTTGACCTTCAGGGTCAAGTCTAAATTTTCAAAGGTAACAACATATTCATACCGAAGTTGGGAAGCGTTGCGTACGAGTGTGACCTTGACCTTCAGGGTCAAATCTAAATTTTCAAAGATAACCACATGTTTATACCGGAATTGGGAAACGTTGCGTCCGAATGTGACCTTGACCTTCAGGGTCAAGTCTAAATTTTCAAAGGTAACCACATTTTTTATACCGAAGTTGGGAAACGTTGCGTCCGAATGTGACCTTGACTTTCAAGGTCAAGTCTAAATTTCCAAAGATAACCACATGTTTATGCCGGAATTGGGAAACGTTGCGTCCGAATGTAACCTTGACCTTCAGGGTCAACTCTAAATTTTCAAAGGTAACCACATTTTTTATACCGAAGTTGGGAAACGTTGCGTCCGAATGTGACCTTGACTTTCAAGGTCAAGTCTAAATTTCCAAAGATAACCACATGTTTATGCCGGAATTGGGAAACGTTGCGTCCGAATGTAACCTTGACCTTCAGGGTCAACTCTAAATTTTCAAAGGTAACCACATTTTTTATACCGAAGTTGGGAAACGTTGCGTCCGAATGTGACCTTGACTTTCAAGGTCAAGTCTAAATTTCCAAAGATAACCACATGTTTATGCCGGAATTGGGAAACGTTGCGTCCGAATGTAACCTTGACCTTCAGGGTCAACTCTAAATTTTCAAAGGTAACCACATTTTTTATACCGAAGTTGGGAAACGTTGCGTCCGAATGTGACCTTGACTTTCAAGGTCAAGTCTAAATTTCCAAAGATAACCACATGTTTATGCCGGAATTGGGAAACGTTGCGTCCGAATGTAACCTTGACCTTCAGGGTCAACTCTAAATTTTCAAAGGTAACCACATTTTTTATACCGAAGTTGGGAAACGTTGCGTCCGAATGTGACCTTGACTTTCAAGGTCAAGTCTAAATTTCCAAAGATAACCACATGTTTATGCCGGAATTGGGAAACGTTGCGTCCGAATGTGACCGTGACCTTCAAGGTCAAGTCTAAATTTTCAAAGGTAACCTCATTTTTATTCCGGTATTGGGAAACGTTACCTCGAAGCCAAGGTCTTTCAATCTTAAATGTTATTTGTAGAGACATCCCTTGACTGCCAAAATTGCGAAGCTAGAATTTTTTTAACGTGTAAAGTAGCGACATAAAACAAACTAAATACAAGGAATAGAAATATGTTGCCGATACCTTAACATTCTAAAGCTGTCTACAAAAAAATCATTTGCTATTCAATTGTATAATGATGCACTTGTTTTGTTCTAAAATTACACACTTTAATTTTAAAAAGAGAAACTGCACGCCGAAGTCTGATGATGAACACAAAGGACTATTCTTGTAATTGTTTATATTTTTTTGTTGTTAATGAAATATTTTGTGAGTAGTATTATATTTATAAAACAATGAGTATATATGATTTTTTGTTTTGAAGGTTGTTAAAAAACGGTACTTAATGTACTTTTGCACGAATTAAATCCCATTTATTATTATAAGACGCCTTCTGGTGGGATACGCTAAAACAAAATGAGCCCTACACTGAACGGATATCAATATGAAAATCCCTCCGTCAGCATTAGTAAATACAATCTAATTTTCTCACGCACCATATGTGCGGTGACATATGGTGAGATATACAAATACGGCCCTTATCTCAGCTTGGGCACGCTTCTACCTGTAATGAAATAAAACGGTAAAGTGCCAGGGTAAACAAGGATTGATAACATAAGGATCGTATAAATACCATGATATCCAGGATTTTCGTTTTGCTTACCCAAGTTGGAACGTAACAATACCCGTGAAAATGGTTAAAAGAATGTTCGTTTAAAACTCTCGTTTATTTAACGAAGACACGCGTCTTGCAACTAAGATGGAAAATGAAGTCTGAGTTCTGTGCATGATGGAAGATGAGAGGAGGTTGATGAAAAAGGATCCAAAAAGAGTATATAAAGTGAAATTGAAAAGATCAAAAGCAAATGCTAGAGAAAGAAATAGGATGCATGGTTTAAATGCTGCGTTGGATAGGCTGAGAAGGTAAAATAAAAGTTGTGTAAAACGATTAGATTAACGTTTTTTTTTTTTTAATATACATTATCGAAATAATTAAGATGGGAATAGGGGGATGTTCTTAGAAGATTAATGTAATGTTCAAGAATTACAAATTTCCTGGAAAGTGTTATTACTTCCTATACCAAAACCGGCGAGGAAATATTGTAATTTCGTAAAATTTCATAAATGAGAGATATGTTTTTTGAATGTTAAATGACATGTACCTACATCATGAAAAACCATGTCACTCATCTTCTTCGGTCTGTCTGATAATCTTCTAACCAATTTTGTGCAGAGGTTGAAGATTCGTCCTACCCGAGTGAACCTACCTAATCACGATTCAGTTCCGCATTTTGAACCGATTTTACTTGACCCTATTTTTTTATTTCTGGGGAAATATACAGGGTGACTTCGAAGTTGAGTCATTTATTTTAACAGTGAGTAGATCTGATCAAAAGAAATGTTTTTTTCCTTTAACATTTTTGTGCTAAAATTAAAGTAACAAAGTTATAGCCCTTTAGAAGTTTGAGTACCGCCCTGTCTCAATAATAATATTATGTGCTCGTGTTTGGCAACAACGGATATAATCCGCCTTATCGGTTCGTCGCATCGGAAACAAAAAAGCGAAAGAATTTGAAACGTTGATCACGATGTTTTTATTCAGTCTGTGTCAGTCGCTAACGCGTGAGTGAATAGTGGTGTTTGCTGCGTGGCTCAAACGAAATAAAAAATGGCACATGTTTATGCGGATCGGTTTCCCAATCGAGTGCAACCAACCCCTCGTGCCTTTGTTAATGTAGTGAAAGGGCTCGTGAATCAGGTGACTTAAGACCTCACAGGGGAGGGCATGCCGGTGCTCCAAGACCTCACGATCAAATACAGGTCCGCACTGAAATACTTGTCGGGAGGATACTTTATAAAACAAGGTACAAATTTTTTTAATTTTTTTTTTATTTTTACACACATATTTTGGTTTATCTTCCTTCTACAATCATTATCTGAAAATTAATGACTCAACTTCAAAGTCTTCAGTATACAGGTTGGCGCATCGAAAACGAAACAGACGCATTTACTGGCAGCTCAGTTTTATTTTGGAAAATCGCTCAGACCCGTCGATTTTGTTTTCGAGGGGGACACAAGTTTGGCAAAAAATCACATTAACACGTGCAGCCCCCTGGGCGGGGGTGACACCAACCCTAAAATCTTTAATGGAAAGGGGGGTCGAGTGATACCTTATTTTAAAGGTCTTTCAATTCCCTTTATAATGATGTAAAATACATGAGCTTCAGTTCAGTAGTTTTGAAGATGTATTGATTTAAAGCTTAAAGTAGACTTTAATAGGTACATCAGATTAGTTGGTACTACTTTCAGAAGAAATTTGACTTAAGTAAATGCTTTTCTTCACTACGCCCATGGTTTGTTTATCATTTTGTTGTTGAAAACAGCTATTTTAGCGTTTTTGTAGCAAAAAAGTTATTTCTTGAAGAAAGATAAGGAAATATCTCGTACTTATTTTAAATAGGAATTTAGTACATAGTTTGCGATTGATTTGACCAAACTGGATCAGATCGATGGATTGGTAGAAGAGGTGCCATTGAATGGCCCCCAAGATCGCCAGATTTATCACCTTTGGATTTCTTTATGTGTGGTCATTTAAAAAGCAAAATGTAGGCTACTCAGCCAACATCATTAGAAGACCTGCGACAAAGAATTGTGAATGAGTGCATTCAAATTACTCCTGAAATATTGCAAAATGTGCGGCAACGTTTTGAGCAAAATCTTTATTATTGCATGGAGAGTCATGGTGGCCATTTTCAACATTTACTTGCCTAACGGGTCAGTCCATTCTTCATTTTTAAATTACTTTGCTGCCAAATGTATTGATCTCCACTAATGATGATGTATCAGTTTTATTTAAGCTTTAAATCAATAAATCTTCAAAACTGCTGAACTGAAGTAAATTAATTTTATATTATTATAAAGGGAATTGAAAGACCTTTAAAATAAGGTATCACTCGACCCCCCTTTACATTTAAGATTTTAGGGTTGGTGTCACCCCCGCCCAGGGGGCTGCACGTGTTAACGTGATGTTTTGCCAAACTTGTATCGCCATCGAAAACAAAATCGACGGGTCTGAACGTTTTTCAAAAAAAAACTGAGCTGCCAGTAAATGCGTCTGTTTCGTTTTCGATGCGCCAACCTGTATATAAAATACTCTAATAAATTTAGCACGATCTGTCGCCCTTCTCCATTGCTCGTATTTCCGGGCGTTGTATAATGTTATATTGAAGATTGATAACAGAACAACTCAAATTGCACGCCGATGTCAAGTAACTTGTCACTCTGACAAATATGTTTGAAGGGAACTCATACGTAACAACAGACATTTCGAGACGGAGACACAACTAAAAAACGTATGTCTTTGACCTTACCGAACAAACGTTCACACACAGGGGTAGGTTGCATGTGTATGTGAGGGAGATGGAGATATATGAAGGGATACAGGTAGTCTGACTTTGACCCGCCAAGAACGGTGATTACATAGTTGTATAGTTACCTCAATAACTTGGGCCACCTTAATACTTCTCAGCCTAAGATAACCTAGGTCATTGTTCTAATTCAATCCGACCTATGCCTCAGTTATTCAAAATTTTGCAATACGTACACCTTCCAAATCAACAAAAACTTTTTTAATATCCCTCACACAGCTTGATTAACATCGACCCGTCTTTTTTCGGAAAACCATCTTATTTCTAGTTGTATGCCTATCCAGCAAATTCACACAGACGCAAACTCGACTCCTCAAAAATTGTCCAAAATCGAAACGCTCCGTCTTGCTAGAAACTACATCGCAGCAATGACCCAAACTCTTCAAGAAGGCAGACCCATGGAAATGGGTCGGTACGTGAAAATATTGAGCAATGAGTTGAGTCAGACCACTGCGAATCTTTTGCAAGGAGCTTTGTTGAGTAGGAACGAGGGCCACGAGTATCTGGAGAGATACGTGAATAATTGTGAGAATTATTATCATTCCAAGTCGCATGGTCAACAATCGTAAGTATATTGATTTGGCTTGGAAAGTGTCTGTGCAGTCTTTCGTTATGTTCATTACTATTTCTTAATTCTCCACTCCATGTTATAAAAACGAAGCATTTTCGAAGCTATATGTTTGAACTTTTTTCATATTTCAATCTGCTGTATCTTAATTTTCCTTATTAGAAAATTTCATAACATAGTCTAATTATATTAGACAAAAATACCCCTGCTTTGCGAAATAACTGTAAAGTCTGGTTTTATTGATGCAAGTTGTTCAATGGGGTATTCAATTATTCCGGAGAAATTTGCTGTTACGATTAGAGTAACATGAAAATGTTTATATCGTCCTATCTAAATCGAGCTACGACTTTGTGATATCAAGTTTTTTATCATCTCAAACTCAAATCTTGTGGATTTGCTTGCAGGTATTTTTGCAATTACCCAGGTACGTACGGAGAAGAAAATTATGGTCGTTTATGGGATACATACAAAGACAACTGGCCAGGAATACAGAACTGTATTTACTTCAATCACAATGGCAATTTTTTTAATGAAAACGTTTACCCTCATGACATTATCTAGTCATCTTGTTTGGAGTCGAAACATACGTTGATTCCGCATCAATTTTTGCTTAATTCGTCACGCTAGATGTAGCCCAAAAGAATGGAAAATGTATCTTGGTGTTACCTTTTTCACATTCTGGATTAAAAAAGAATTGAATGAAACATGTGCCCATACCAGATAGCACAGAACGTCTTCAAAACGTCCATTTTATGCTTTAATGATGTCTGAACGCCTGAGACGTTGAAAAGACGTCTTTAAGATGTCCTTAATGCGACACGACGTTTCATGACACGATATAAAACAAACATTTTTAAGACGTTTTCTTATGTCTTTTAGAAGGCGTGGTTAAAATTTATAGTATTCGGCTTCTTAAGTTATAAATATTTAATTAACATATAAGAAACCTTAATCCTGAACATCTAACTAAAATTTAAGATAATATATATTTTTTCGTTCACCCAACCACAATTGAAAATATATATCACTTTTTTAAGATCCATGTATTTTTTAACCAATTTAATTATCTTAAACTTCGTGAAAGGCCTAGTCCTTAAAGTTTTCAGATATATTTAATTCATAATATAACACCAATTGTCTTTTTCTGAAATATTTTAACTTCAAAATTTATTGCATCATCCTGTTTTAACTCATCAATTCGCCACCAGATGACAATGCGTCTATAAAAGCGAGCACATCTCTATACTTACCTGTCGAACATCTCTAGCCCTGGCATCTGTCAATGCCATTTGTCATTTGTTTCAGTGTTTTTAAGGCGTAGCGTACGCGGGAAAAGTTCTTGCTTACGTGAAGTTCCACTTCTTTGGAAATCAAGTAAATTGTAACTCGTATTCTACCCCCTAGTTAACATTAGAAAAAAGTGTTTTGTTTTTTATTGTCTTTGTGGCCTCCTTGATGGTCATAGTTTTCTACTTCTCCGTGTCAGCGCTCTATTTTGAGGTTATGTCACAAACATCTATTTGCATCAAATTGTGCTTGCTTTTGAGTTATATCATGTTTTATCAGCCTGAAATTTCCTACAAATTAAAAAGAAAAGATATCTTCACAATAGGAGAGCGCTGACGCTGACACGGGACAAGTGTAATCTAGAAATTTTTGAAGGAGAGAAAGGAGTATGACAATCAAGGAGGCCATAAACGCGCCCTACAATTATAGGGCGCGTTTATGGCCTCCTTGATTGGCATAGTTTTCTACTTCTCCGTGTCAGCGCTCTATTTTGAGGTTATGTCACAAACATCTATTTGCATCAAATTGGGCTTGCTTTTGAGTTATATCATGTTTTATCAGCCTGAAATTTCGTTAGGCCCGTACAATTGTAGGGTGCGTTTATGGCCTCCTTGATTGTCATACTTCTTTCTCTCCTTCAAAAATTTCTAGATTACACTTGTCCCGTGTCAGCGTCAGCGCTCTCCTATTGTGAAGATTTGTTTTCCTTTTAAATTGTAGGGAATTTCAGGCTGATAAAACATGATATAACTCAAAACCAAGCACAATTTGATTCAAATTGAAGTTTGTGACATAACCTCAAAATAGAGCGCTGACGCGGAGAAGTAGAAAACTATGACAATCAAGGGCCATAAAGGCGCCCTAAAATTGTAGGGACGACTGACGATACGGGCCTAAGAGCAGCACTAAGGACGAACTTATTTTTAAGAGACGTTTTTTTACAACGTCTTTAAGATGTCGTACAGCATTCACAAGACGTGCTTACGACGTCTCTATTATCTCAAAATGACGTTTTTAAGATACAGTTGTGCTATTTGGGATGTGGCAGAAGTGCCGTTTAAGCAGAAGAAATTACGAGTTCTAGTCATCTGTTTAATCTTATATACATATTTATTCTGTACAAAAAAATAGACAATCACTCAATATCAGTGTCATCATTTTCCAATTTCATCCTTTTACTAGCTTCACCGTCTTCCCTTTCAATACTGTCCTCACTCATATCCATCTTCAGGATCTCTTCCAAATTCAAATGTCCAAACCTCTCGTACAACGTCCTCAATTTCGTACACTCTTCGTCGTCTTCGCTATCACTGCACACGACATACTCCCTACTGTTCTCCTCTATATCCTCACAAGAAATCTCCTCGCGTAGACAGTCACTGTAACACGGAGATTTCACTTCTCCATCCCAATGCAGATGCAGCTTTTTGGCCTCGTTTTCGTATTTCTCCGTATCCACCGGTATACGATCCATGGATACGTCGCAGTAAGGACATGGTACCGGTTCTTGTGTTTCTTGTGGATGCGCCAGAGACGAGCAATACGGACACTTGAAGGATGGAACTACCAGTATTGGCATCATGGAGAAGCAACAGCGAGCATCTGCGTGGGGAGGTAGACACGTTGGACCGAGAATCTTTGCAAGGTGGTTAAGAAAAAACTATTCATGATTTATGGATTAAAAGATATTTTTCATTTGGTCAAACCTGATTTACGGAATCGCTTAGGAAGCCAACTGCCTTACATGTTTAAATTCATGAATCAAAATATAAAAAAGGAGAAGGAATCTTGAATGGGTATGGGTACCAGCTATGTGGGTTTTTTTAATGTTTTTTTTAGTAAATATTTTTGTCATTTAGAACATAAGTTTTTGTATGTTTGTGTCATGGATGAAATAACGGTGTTTTTTATTGAATAAAAAAATGGAAAGTAATGGTCAAAATCCGCAAAAAAGGGAAAGTGGATTCGAGCAGAAAATAGGATAGGTAACCCGAGCAATCCGATTTCTGCTTGTCGGCTTCATCAGGCCCGAAATGAATGCACATATGCAACCACAAAAGTAGATACACATGCCCATACATCCGGATACGGGTGTATCCTGAGGAAACGAAGATGGAGAGGGAAAAAATGACACACGAAGTCCCCAACAAGAGCCAACCTACACAAATTTTATCTTTGTATATGTATGTAACGTATATATACGATTCATAGTTATTGTCCAAATAGCCAGTTAAATGGAAGACTTTTCTTTGTTGTATCGAAAAATTATGCTAAGTGTACCCTTTTGCCTTACAATACTCAAGCTTTCGACAGACATGCTGCCATCATCAGCAGCTAAAAAACGAATCAAAAATAGTCAAATAGCAACCATGCTCAGTTGATTAGAAATCTTTTTACTTACTCCGTCAGTGAGAATGGTGCTAGTATTTGATGTTAAAAAATGCAAAAGAGGACACATGGTAAGGTGACTATATATATATATATATATAGGTGAAAAATTAAAGCTTCCGCCTTTTGTTGGGTACTTCGACAAAATTTAAGCAAAGAGGACTCTTTATACTTTTTTTAATTCTCTCTAGCTTTCAATGGACTTTGCCATCGTCATCAGGAGCTGCAATTACAATGATAACAGTAGCAACAAAAGTGTAAAATGAATTTAAATTGAATCAACTTACAGTAGTATGTGAGGATGTTGCTAATTGTTGTTTTCGTATAGGATGAGGGAAACGTCCAGTAACATGGTGAGAGCTGGATACATGGTACAATGGTTAAAATTATATACAATATGACAAGACAAGTTAAAGACAGATTAAAAATTATTTAGAAAACATTAGAGCATTACGTCGTGAAGCCACTTGATGATTGCACAAAATGGTGGTCATGGAATAATGAGTGAGATGAACCTTTGACAGAAGGCCGAAGGTTGTCAATGTCTGTGTTGAAAGATGGAACGAATTGTGGGCGTGTGCCAAAACGTTGCCAAATCACTTCAGATGATGTGATTTTCAGAATGTTATGTAAGAAATTGTTAAACCGACCAGAGGCAGTTGAATAAACTATATTTTAATTAACGGGAATTTTAAATTAACAATTATTAATGAATCGTGAGAAGAGAATTATTAGATTTTGAGTGGAATGAAATTTGTTGGTGGAATCGGCTAAAACACAGATTATATTTATGGTTGTTCATTTTACACTTTTGTTGCTACTGTTATCATTGTAATTGCAGCTCCTGATGATGATGGCAAAGTCCATTGAAAGCTAGAGCGAATTAAAAAAAGTATAAAGAGTCCTCTTTGCTTAAATTTTGTCGAAGTACCCAACAAAAGGCGGAAGCTTTAATTTTTCACCTAACTGCTCTAGACGACAATGACCACGTCTCAAAATATATATATATAATCAAGATATTTTTGAATCCTGAAATAAAAATATAAATTTCTTATTATATGTGTACGCTATGAAAAGGATATTCTCTCCACACCAAATGCACTGCATCGTATCCGGATATCTCATTTCGTTGGCGACCTCCATAACGCTTCTTATATCATCTATAAACGTCTTTCCAACGTTACTTTTCGCAAGTATATTCTTGGCGATCATTTCTTTCAAAAAGAAATTCTGCACGTCAATGCTTCTCATCTGGTATACACTCAAATCTTTCTGCGCCAACAATCTTTTCAGCCTTTGTACAACCAGTTTTATTTGAAGTAGATAATGGGTTAGTATGAACGGTTTGATGTCATAATTTTTGACTACCGGGACAAAGTTAAACACCATTTCAGATAGTTTTGCCAGTTGCCTTAGCAGTTTCAGATGGTATATGGAAAGTTTATCATAGTTGAGGTCCGGTGAAATTCCTAACCATGGAAATCGCTTTTCTCTTATACATGTTATTCTGAAAACAGAGGAATAATATGATAAACTTCCAACGGTATCGAGATTAGAGCTAGATCACATCGGTTATTTTGGGAGTGACCGATTATGGCGATAGTTAGGTTAATGCCGAATTGCTTTTGATGCGAATAGTTCCTGAAAGAATTTTAAATTTATATCAAATATTGTACCTTAAAACTTCCAAACAGTCCCAATAATCTCTCAAACTTTCACTGGGGTTGTTCCAGAGCGAATCAATCAGTTTCATTTCCAAATTTTGGAAGACGATAACTTCTGCCTCAATGGCGCGTACTCTAGAACCATCTTGAGCCCACTGCTGACATAACAGTCCAAAAAACGCGAAGTTTTTCGAGAAAAAACAACCGTGGGTGCGGTACTTTTTCATATCGAACTTCAGGGAGATCTTTTTGTCTGTAACTTTTATCTTCTCATCTTGGACTGTTAACGTCAATTCCGTGAAAATTCCTGGTAGGGTGAGGACATAAATAGTGTTGCCTGTGTGATGAAGCCCTAGAAAATGATGTGTATTATAGAAGACTATATTCCACTATGTTTTTGATTCTCACCTGTTATGTAGACATCGTCGACATAACACGCCTTTTGTCCAAAAACATCTCCATTTTTATCAAGTCCGAATATTAAAATTATTCTTTGCTTCACAGCCAATATAAATGTGTAACTATCATGCTCCATCACAGTGATTTTATCAATAGCTACTTTATCAGGTTCATTCCAAAATATAGTTTCGTTATCCACGTTTGCAACAGGTTTATTTAAATTTGTTATGTGAACAACTTTCATCCTGCCAGATACATCTGCAAAACACAATCCTCCACCTGTCCAATAATGAAAAAGGATAGTTATAAAATTTAACAAAGGTTATTAGTTACAGAGCAACAGCGTATGCGAGTGCAATTTTTTTTAAGAAGCAGAAGAAATATTGGTATCATTTATTACCAAATTCACTTGTCTGGTGCCAATGCAGGGTAACAATCCTCTCCAACCCTGTGGCATATCTACATAATATTTGCGGTTTCCAGTTTTGTCCAGAAACAAGTTTTTCTGGTACACTCCATACCGTTATGTCACCATTCATGTGCCCAACAAATAATGTACAATGTTGTATTGAGCCTATTTTGAATTTGTGACCCCATGTAAAACCTAGAAATAAACACCATCAGGAAAAAAAATTTAATCTCCAACCACCATCTGTGACCTGCAGAAAAAGACTACAAAAGTAAATCTTACCTGTTATAGACACAAACTGTATCCTATTCTTAAACTGTCTGAGTTTTATTTCAATCGAAAACCTGTTTGCAGACTCCCACTTTTGCTTAGCCTCGTTTATTACCTCCTCTAATATATTGGAAATTGTCACATACTCGACAATTTCGTTTTTATTAACATATCGCACATACAATTCTAAACTGTACACACTATTTAACACTGCTAAAATACAACCTGTAGTATCAATTAAGCCTTGTGGTGACCACTCAGCTTTAAGAGGTAAAATGTCTAATTTGTTGGCGTGTTTTAAATTTACAGAGTATTCACTTGTTAGGGCCAATTCGTACAAGTCTTTTCGTTCTACATAGTTACTGAAAGAATTCACATCTATGTCTATGTTTTCGCATGCAGCGTAGGTGGATACTGGCATGAATAACTTTTTACACGAAAATTGGGGAAAACTGTAAGATAAGTCGCCCCTCAGTGTCAATATATAAATCCCTTGGTCAGTTAATACAAAAAAATCGTTGTTTTCTGATTTACCACAGGCATAGTTTGTAACGTATGTGGTGCTTAGTTTAAAACTATCGAGGAACTTTAAATCTAAGTTCATGTTTGGTGTAAGGTTTTTCTAAAAACCCACAGATGTAAATAATGTAAAAATATACAGTCGGCTCGTCACATTTTTTGAGGTTAACCAATTTGTAAACAAAGTTCGAACCGGATTCTAAGTACTCGCAGTAGGTAATCCACTGTTGCCAGATCCTCAAGGTATTTTTCAACAGGTAACTATGACAATGCTTCGATAACTTGAAGCTATTTTAATTAAGCTTATCCAGCTTTACAAATTCCGTCAACAGCGCTGAATAAGTAAAATATTACCTTACGAAATAAGCCCCTCCAATGTTCTCCGTAACAGATTTTTCTCGTTTCGATAACGGAGGATAGTATCGCTACTGTGCAAAATCGAAATTAATATCACAGCGAACATCAAAACAAGTGTTCCCTATTGATGAACGTATTTTGCCAGATAGAATACCTACGTTATTCAATGACATCGCGCTGCTGAAGAGGCCACCTTCATGAGTTTGCAGAGACAGGGACATGTTTGGAAGTAGCTGTCTACAGTTTTGGTCTGAAGTCTCCGTTTTGGTCAGAACTGCATTCGGTCTTCATGATAATCCTGCCATCAATATTTAACATTAAGAAAAATAGTTTGATTTGACAACACCGAATATGCTTCGAGTATCTAGAATGCCGTGGTCTATGTGTTACCACTGCTGCCAACCATTTTTATTAGGGCTGCGTTACGATTTCAACCTAACAGTTACGAACAATGAAATCAGTCATAAGGTAGTAAAGAAGTTGCGAATGTGCATCAGCCCTTGTAGTAGCTAATTCCTGTTGTCATTTTCCTTCTAGTTGCAGAATACGCATATAATGACGATTTATACAGGGTGGTCCATAAGTCCTTTGAAATTTCAAATTTGAATAAAATTTAACGGGTGAGCGTGAGCGGCGCGGGCGAGGTGGGGGCAGTATCTTCAGTGTCTGGGAATTCAGTCGCTATGGAGTGTTTCACTGGAGCGGATCGTGCTTTTTGTGTGCGTTTTATCAAAATAATGATTCGACAACCATTGCGTGGCGTAAATATCGAGAATACCACAATTTTACAAAGTCTCCAACAGCTCAAACGATTAAGAACTGGGTTGCTAAGTTCGAAGAGACTGGTTCGACGTTAGATAAACAGCGGTGGGGTCGACCAAGGACAACTCGTATTGAAGAAAACATCAACATTGTGGCACAGTCTGTTCGTCAAAATCCTACCCAGTCTACTCGTAAGCGTTCCAGTGCACTAAACGTACCCAGAACATCTTTACAGCTGATTTTAAGGAAAGATTTACGTCTGCACGCTTACAAAATTCAGTTAGTGCAGGAATTAAAAGATAATGACGCCATTCAGAGACTAAACTTTGCGAATGAAATGTTGAATCGATTTTCGTCGCTCAATACTGTGTTGTTCTCGGACGAGGCTCACTTCCATTTAAACGGGCATGTAAATAAACAAAATTGCCGTTATTGGAGCCCCGAAAATCCAAGGCGTAAGCATCAGAAGCCCTTTTTGAGGACGACAGAGGTCGCGCATTAACTGTTACTTCGGAGCGGTTTGTAGCAATGATAGAAGAGTTTTTGACACCAGCGTTGCAGAATTTTCCAGGCTATAATACGCAGACCTGGTTTCAACAGGACGGAGCAACTGCCCACACCTCCAACACTTCTATGCCCGTCGTCTGTCAACTTTTTCCCAGCAAAGTAATTTCTCGAAGAGGAGACATTTCCTGGCCACCACGTAGTCCAGATTTGACCCCAATGGACTTCTTTTTATGGAGCTACCTCAAGAGTAAAGTGTACGACACCACTCCGGGATCAGTTGATGTCCTGAAAGAAAATATCCGAAGAGAAATGGCAAGCATTACAGTGTTGACTTGCAGCGCAGTCACCGACAATTTTAGACGTCGTTTATATGAGTGCCGTGATCGTAATGGATTGCATTTAGACGATGTGATTTTTAAAACATAATTCCCATTCAATAAAGATGATAACAAAATATAATAATTCTTCATAATGTAACTAGTTTGGTTTTATTCCTTTTTTTCCAGCTCAAAGGACTTATGGGCCACCCTGTACTATGTAAATGGCGGACAGGGATACTCGTTTCTTTGCAATGTATAATCAAATTCAAGCGGATAACCAAATGGAAATGGTATTTACCATTTTGGCTTGGTATTTACCAATCCGTTCAAGCGAGTGTAGTTATCAGTTTGGTTATAAGATCCGTGACGTCACGAATCAGCTGTTATAAGTCATAGTTATCACCGCAAAATTGTGGTATTTACCCAACTCGAAAGTAGTTTTATATTTCTGGTTATTATTTGAAATGTGACAAGTTACAATTTTGCCGGGTATTGGATATTGTTATTGTACTTCAGCTCCATTTTTGAGAAAATTGATACAGGCTGACTTCTGTTTTACCATAAAGTGGAGCACCTTATTAGTTATACTCATTACGGTTGTTGGGGACACTTTAAATGTAGTTTCTATGCTTAACAAAGTATCCTGTGTAGCCATATATCACAAGAATATTAAAATATGGCCATTTAAACTCACTAGATGATATCCACCTGTATACGGTTTTGCTAATTTCTCTTTTCATAATTTCTGCTGAATCAATAAATGTTTTCTTTGACATGCGGAAAAATTTAGAGAATTGAAAGTTATCATAGCTACAAAGCCATGGTTCCATCATTAAAAAAAATCTGAAAAAAACATTTCTCCCATGAATATTATGAAAGGTTTCTTATTTAAACTTTCCATATACAGTTGTAGACGAAAAAGCACCGATTATTAAGTGATAATAAAAATAATCAGAGATTATATACCCGCTTTTCTAAAATAAACAACTTGCAACAAAACCGCGGTTAAAACCAACGCGTTCAAGCGATTCGTGTAACTGACGTCATCAACCCGTATGTCATTTTGAACCATATTATAACCGCAGTACGTAACAGAGAAATTTTGGTTATTCGCTTGGATTTGATTTATGTTAAGCTTAATCTTTTTTATCAGTGACATTTGAACTATTAGACATTTCCGCCAACATTTAAATCTGAACACATCAAAAAACATAACCACAAACGGATTAAAGTGCCAAACAAAACATATGGGATCCGAATTTTTGAGTTTTTTTTATATTATTTCAAAATGGTACGGAACATACTCGCAAGTGATAATGTGTTAAGCTTTTTCATTTGTGCTCCAAAAGATGGTAGTGGCGTAGTTGGCTTGATTATAGGACAAGTGAGGAGGACCTTCAAATAATTTCGATTTCTCGGTTTGATCCAAATTGTTTCAGTGCGGTGCAGACAGAGATTATGTATTTTACCTGGCTAGATCTCCAGCTAAACGTGACAAGAGATCTAGCTTTGATGATATTGAGGAAGACTTGGTCCTCGACCATGCCAAACAAATTTCAAGAATGTTACCAGGTGGAATGAATATTTTGGGAATTGTTGTATCTCATCCTGAAGGTACGATTTTCCTCATTCTTATTTCAATAGTATCTCATATTATTAGATTGTCTTTTAGATGTAACATCTCCGTTGCACCCAAAAGTAAAGTCGTTATTGAGCAACTTGTGCAAAACATTGGACTATAATAGATTTTATGGCAACGCTAAGAAAGAAATGATTATATTAAGTTTCATCCCAAAACCTCAGAAGTATATTTGCAAAGAGTATAACATTTCAAATGGAACCCTACAACTAGCAGATTTTAAATTCACTTCAAAAAAACTAAAATGGTACAGAATAGATTGTGCCCTGCTCATTGATGAATTGTACTATCTTGATAAAGAAGAAAATAAGTCATCTTTAGAAGAACATATCAAAGTAAGTTTGAAGAAACAGTAAGGGCATTAAAAAAAACTAGACTTTTTTTAGGCTATCTTGGAACAAATCCAAAAGAAACTGAATAATGTGGAGTTTATAATAGACAACCAATATAAAAATAAAGATGAATGTATAGAAAGTTATTTCAAAAAGAAAATCAGCAAGAGAGGTTCAAAGAAAGATGATGCAGATGATGATAGACCACTTACAGCTCTGGCATTGTTCAAACAAGTTAGTATTGCTTATGCTCCTATTTATTATATTTCAAAATACAATAAATTATCTCTTCTAGGATTTTCCCAGTTCACCTTCAATGCACCAAGTGAAAGAATCTTCTGGCAGTTTAAAAATGACAGGAAAAATTATATCAAGAATTTGGGTACAATCGAAAACTACCGTGGCAGAAATCAGTGAATTTTTAAAACAGGATATTATGTGTAGCTTAGCATCTAGATGTGAGATGCACGTAGACTCTCTCACAGAAGAAGAAATCTCTGAAGGTAGAATTTTCTATCAGTTGTTTTTTTGATTTCGAATGTTTATTTTTTAGGTATAAATTGTATTCATGAGCCACCTCGTAGAGTGTTGATATCATTACCAGACATCGAACCTATGTTTTCCGACTACTTGTTTCCTGGAGAAGGTCCCCTCGGTGCCAAAACGTCGCTTGAGGAACTTTTCGGTGTCAAATTTGAAGGAAAATTGATTAGTGAAGATTTGGAAGGTGAAGCCGGTAAGACCCAACTTTCATTAAAATTAAAATGAACATAAAGACCAAGTAGTTTTTTTAAGAGTGTCATAAATTGACCCACCTCTTAACTTTTCTGCATGGCCCTTGAAAATTATTGTTATTCAACCTTAGGTTTCGCGAAAATTGCAATTACATATTTGACTAAAATGAGCTCTTGGTAGATCGGTGAGTTACATTATACAACTATGTTAACTATGTAAAGCAAAACATTAAAGACACAAAATGAACATCACAACTATAAGACCGGAAGTTCCATTTTATGTGACAACAACAAATACTAAATAACATCGACATATTAGTAATAAAAAATTAGGGATAAATTAGCTCCTTAGTGTTATAAATATCACCGCCAGTTTACAACGAAATTAAATAAAGGATATTTAAGATATTTATGAAAATAATTTTTTTTTAATTTTAACACCCTGTATCTTGAGAACGAATAATTTGCGGCTCTATGATTATATGAACTTAAAATTACTCAAAGAATCATCTGTTAAATTTATGGTAAATTTCAATACCCTGTATATTTGAAATCAGAAAAAGCGACTATCGTTTTGACTAAACATATACAAGATGTTCCATTTAAAAAACTTTATTCAGTTGCATTTTTCTGCGATACCCTGTATATAAAAAAGATATTGCTCGTAAAACTGTACATTAAACCTTACAACATTTGTATAAAGCATTTTTCCTGCATGACCATAGAAAAAGGTCAGATGGAGTTCAATTTATACTCCAACAACATTTTTTACTGTTGGTGTTTTTCAGATATGTCAAAGTTCTATGATAGTAAAGTTGTGATAAAACTGGAGTCTACAAGTTCTGGAAAATTCATGTACAGTGCTATTGGGCTGGCTGTTATAATTTTATTAGTAGCACTTTTGATACATACCTATCTATAAGATTATTATACTTATGCATATCCAAGTTGAATAAAATATTTTTTTATACATTGTTTGTTTTAATGTATACGTCACTAAAAGATACAAAGCACTTAGCAATAAAGTTTGGTCAAGAGATAAAGGTACTAAGGCAGTATAAAAATACAAAGGTACAAACACAAAAAAATATGATATAAAAACATAGGCGAATGTCACACCATCAGAATTTACTGTGATCAAGCGGTATCTACCAAACATGATGCAACAGCTGTTTTGATCTCCCTGTTCCCTACCTGATGATTCCATGGGCGTTCAGAGGATTTTTTCCAGGGGTTTTAACGCTTCATTAGGCAAGTTAATTTTTAGAGAACCTTTTATATGGAATATAACCAACAACAACAGTAAAGAGTAAATCGATATCCCTAAATGTCACAGTAAAGGCGCGATTCCACTGGGGCAACATGCAGTATACGGTATTGACGCATGCAGCACACTGGCTTTCCATAGAGGCAACACAAAACGACAAAAAATATGTCTCATTGTCGCATGCCACAAGTTGCCCGTTGTTGCTTCTCGAGGGCGCCGTCAGCGTCATGAAAACAGTATGTTTAAGGCCCGTATCGTCAGTCGTTCCTACAATTGTAGGGCGCCTTTATGGCCTCCTTGATTGTCATAGTTTTCTACTTCTCCGTGTCAGCGCTCTATTTTGAGGTTATGTCACAAACATCTATTTGCATCAAATTCTGCTTGCTTTTGAGTTGTATCATGTTTTATCAGCTTGAAATTTCCTACAATTTAAAAAGAAAACATATCTTCACAATAGGAGAGCGCTGACGCTGACACGGGACCAGTGTAATCTAGAAATTTTTGAAAGAGAGAAAGAAGTATGACAATCAAGGAGGCCATAAACGCGCCCTACAATTGTAGGGACGACTGACGATACGGGCCTTAATGAAGATTACCATAATTCGGGTGAATTATGGAACAACAAATCGGAAAGATATAAAGATGCGCGACTAAAGCAGGATAAATTACGGCAGGCCTTGTGCGATGATGACGCGAAAATAGTTGGCTTATTTGTTAATGGTTGATTTCTTTGAATAGAAAAATACAACTGTTCGGTATTAGTGATTAAAAAAAATAAGAATTTACGTTCGGCGTTTCATCGGGAACGAAAAAAAAAATACGTTTAAAAAAAAGTGGATCATCGCCCTGCAAGAAATACTCGTATATTATCTCCAATATTTTGGCGTTTTTCTTTTCCAATCAAAAGAAATCACTAAATAAGCAGTCGCCGCGACTGTTTGTAACGGCATGACGTACTAAACTGAAGTTGCCTGAATTGAATAGTGAAGACGCATGCTACACTCATGTACGACAAAGCGCATGCCGCATATATAATTTTGGGCAACACTGGGAAACAAGTAGGCTGCCACATGTCGTTCAGTGTTGCCCAGTGGAATCCCACCTTAACAGTTGACAGCAACAGAAATCCTGCCAAATGCATAGAACCCAACTTGGCGTTGATAGAACCTGATTTTTGGGAGGATGTCGTCTCTGGTAGTACTCTGTGAACATGATAAATATCCATATTTATTGACCATGTAGCTTGGACGTCGGTAATTATTGACATACACGGTTATGTAGAAGACCACTGAGACAAAGGAAATCATAAGTGAATACTGATTGTATGACATTCATAATACAATATAATGCTTTGAGTGACTAATAAAAAAATATCATTTTCGATAGCCATATTTCAGAGGCATATCAAATACAATAGGAAGATTTACAGCATTTTTTTTTACGTTGCATGATGAGGCGTTTACGAAACTTATTTCACCATTGCTTGTTACACCATATCCTTCGTGAATATGCCCGAAAATGTGATACTTTGGCCTAACCCTATATAATACTGTATTCAGTAGCTCTACACATCCCACCCTTATTCCTGACTGTACCAAGTCACCGTGACCTACTGGTGGGGTATGTGTTACCAATATTTCTGTATCCCTAGGAATTTTGTTCCATTGCGAAAGCAAGTCTCTACCTCTATACCGAGAAAATGCCCCTCCCACACCATAGTGTACAGGTATCCATGGAGATCCATAGATTTTTACGCCATACAACTGAATGCCGCTATCTTGCAAATAAATACAGTTTGTCAGGTAATCTCGTACATGCATTACATCTTCAATAGCACTAGACTTCCCTCTTATAAACATGATTTGTTGAAAATAATTTAAACATCTCGCATCAAATGTTAGCTCATGATTCCCTGCAATAACTACTTTAAATTTATGAGGTAAAGAGCCTAACCAGTTGTTGAATTTTATAACACTTTGCCTTTGTCCCAAATTGCTGAAGTCTCCTGCGTGGATAAAAATATCTCCATCAGGAACATTGTACGTTATATTTTGCATGTGAGTATCGCTCATACAAACTACTCTAACGTTATATGGTGAAACAGGAAATGTGGGAATCCCCACATTAAGCTGGAAAAATGTCTGTTGCCTTGACATCATTTCCCAAGCTGCCGTAGGACTCTCGGTGAGCGGATGAACTCCGATTGTCCAGTATTGCATCATAGAATGCATTCCGACATTTGAAGCGACAATCTGCACAAGCAAAAGAAATTTCATGATCATAATTTGGTACGATATATAAAAAAACAATACAACCTGTTCAAGAGAACATTATCTTTAAAATCGCACTTCAAATGTTCAAAATAAACTGATCTTGCCGATAAAGGAATGGCAATAATGACAACCATTCTAACCAACCGCTCTTGGACCCCTGACTTTTCGTTACGTAACGAAACAAGTAGATTAGTCAGGTGAACATTTTGTTTATCGTCACTTATTTAAATAACGCACACGTCATCTATTGCTAAAATCCGCTACTGCGACGGTGTATAGCAACTACTGGTTGGAGCTATGAAGATCTCAGTCCACAATGATAGTGCAATCACTATCAATTCTAGCTGCTTTATAGATTAGGACGATACGTAATCACTTTTACGTGTACCTTGTGTTAGGTTACTAGTTCCAGTTCCAACTAAATACTTATTCCGGAGTTAGATTAGGACCACTGTGATGCGGGTTGCATATCTATATGCGAGATAGGCTACCGTCTACACAACAACTCATTCTTGCCACACTAATTAAAATAAATATCCAGAATTTTATAAAGATGAATGGCAAAAGGAGTTTCAATGATGGTTGCAAAGGAGTTTGCAGAGCGACCGGTATGCTCATTGTACAAGTTGTGATAGACTTTTTCAGGGACAGATGCCCTTAATAAATTCTGTATTATACAAAGATATACGTTTTTCGTCGAGGGCGCTGCGTGACGCAAAGTACTTTGATCCATCGCTGATTTTGTGACGGTCCTGATTTTTTGCAACTACCGTTTTTGTCTGAATCTACGACTCTATCATTTCGTCTTTTTCGGTTCGGCAACACTGGTTCGTTGTCCAAAGACGATTAACCAAGCAGTATATGTTACTTATTTGATCCGAAATACTTTTTCATTGCTTCTGAGCTTAAAAATCTGCGCAAAAAATTTATAGTAACAAATAATTTTGAGTTTTAGAAATGTGTGAATAATGAAGGCACTCTTATAATATTTATTTTTGTTGTCAACTTTTCAAAGGCATATCAAAGACAATAGGTGGATTTACAGGTTTATAACTTATATCACAAGTTGAAGCATTTATAAAAGTTATTTCGCCATTGGTTGTTACACCGTATCCTTCATGAATGTGACCAAAAATGTGATACTTTGGCTTGACCCTCCTTATCACAGTATTGAGTAGTTCAACACATCCGGTTCTTACTTTTGAGTGTGCCAAATCTCCATGACCCAGAGGAGGGGTGTGCGTCACCAATATGTCTATGTCTTTGGGAATTTTCTTCCATTTTGAAAGTAGTTTTGTACCTCTAGTTAAAGAAAATGCTCCACCTAAATGTTCAGGTATCCATGGTGTTCCATAAATTTTTATTCCATGTATCTCACGACTGCTATCTTGTAAATAGATACAGTTTGTCAGGTACTGCTGTACATTGGTTGTACCTTCATCCAAAAAGATATCTTGTTCCATGAAGCTAATGTCAAATGTATGGTCATGGTTCCCTGCTATGACAATTTTATGTTTATGTGGTAGAGTCCCCAACCAGTTGTTGAATTTAATAATACTAGTTTTTTCTCCTATGCAGCTGAAATCTCCAGCGTGGATGAATATATCTCCTTCGGGGATGTGGAATGTTATATCCCTTGCATGTGTATCACTCATACAAACTATTCTAACTTTGTTGGGTGTAACTGAAGCTGTTGGAATCTTTACTTTCACTGGCAGAACTTTATGCGTTTTTGATATTTCCTCCCAAGCTGCTGTGGGATTTTCAGTAAGAGGGTGTACCTCGACAGTAGAATTTTCAGTATTTCCATTGCCTTTGCAGAATAAATTCCCCAGTTTGGACTAAAAAACTAACAACGGTAGAAACTGAAGTTCTAATCGTCGAGGACTAATTTAACAATGTGTAAAATCTAATCTTACACCTACATATATAAGTACCATATCATTTCGATTGTCTTTATAATCACTATGCGAAATTAAAAAACATTAATCTTCCCATTAAATTTAAAATCAAGGTGATACCAATGACAAACATAGTTGAACTGGCCCTGGATTCTCGATTCTCCTTACGTAACGAAGCAAATAATCCACATTCAACCAATAAAGAGTGTATTAAGTATTCTATATCTATTCTATAAAGCTGTAAAACTTGTTGCCACAAAAATTCTAGCACCACAGACAATCAGATATAAAGTTCCCTAAGCTTAGCTATACAGTAGTTAGTAGTAGTACTTAATCTAAGCACCACCTACCGTGGCAACACTGCAAGTCTAAAATTTTTCAGCTTGATTTACCCCAAAGTAGACATCCACTAACCAGTTCAGTGTTGCCAATTTTTCGATATTTCTACAGAAATGGGAAAATAATAAAGATATTTCCCGATTTTTTTGTCAACAGAAAAAGAGCTTGACCAAAAATAAAGCTAAAAAATAAATTATATGTATTTTTATGTCCCATCCCAATCATACATACGCGTACACTTATTGCCGTATCGTCAGTCGTTCCTATAATTATTGTAGGATGCCGTTCTGGCCTCCTTGATTTTCATAGTTTTCTACTCTTCCGTGACAGCGCTCTATTTTGAGGTTATGTTATAAATATCTATTTGCATTAAATTATTAATGCTTTTGATTTATATCGTCTATTATATAGCCTGAAATTTCCTACAATTCAAGAAGAAAACATAGCCTGACAACAGGAGAGCGCTGACGCTGACACGGAACAGTAGAAATATCCCAACCTTCCTGAAGGAGAGGAAATACTATGAAGATCAAGGAGGCCATAAAGGCGCACTACAATAAATTGGCTTTTATGGCCTCCTTGATATTCATAGTTTTTCCCTATCCTTCAGAAACGCAGGGGTATTTCTAGATTTCTACTGTTTCGTGTCAGTGTCCTATTTTGAGGTTATATTTTCTTTTTGAATTCGAAGAAATTTCAGGGTTTAAAACTTGATTTTTACCATCTGTTTTATAAATCTGAAATTTCTTAAGATTCAGAAAGGAAACAGGAGAGCTCAGACGCTGTCACGGAACTGTAGAAATCTAAAGGAGAGAAAGGACTATGACAATCAAGGAGGCCATAAAGGTGTCCTACAATTCTAAGAACGACTGACGATATGGCCCTTAGTCAGCCAAAACGTAAATTTGGGTTGCCTAGGATTCTGTATGCACATTTTGCACATCCTTACTCCGCTTTTTTGTATTGGTAAAAGTAATCAAAGATTGTCTGTTTTTAATTAACAATTAAATACAAATTGGGTGAAAATCTAGTAAAACTTGCTTGCAACGTGTTTCTGCATGCAAATGAACTTTTCTAAATAAAAGAGTTGCTGGAAAGTACAAAATGAATCTGTAGCGTACAAAAACTAAAACAAAATACGGTTCGGTCTACCCGTCGTGATGCATCCGTCAGATTATGTTATTTGCCGATATGGAGAATTTTAAGATATTACTAAATGACCAACTATTATTCCACCGTAATGGATACTCGTGTATACATCGTAATAAAGGAGTCAACATTTTTTCAAAAAAAGATAGCCTCAAAGAACCTTTGTTGTATGCGGGCGCAAAGCAAAAATGTAGTTTGTTTTTCATAAACGGCGTTGTGAGACGCAAAGGACTTTAGAACACCTACCGATTTTGTCCCTGAGCACTGTCTACCGATTTCGTATTTTTCGGTCGGCAACACTGCACCAGTATCACCAAATTTTTGACAATTGACAGCATATTTGTCAACATCATTAATAACCTAAATTTTTCGAAAAAGTAAACGAAAAAATACATACAATTATGACGACGATGATAACTTAAAATTCCAAGTCATGTCAACGATTGTGTTAGGAGGAGGTCTCTCTGGCCTATCGGCAGCGTACTATTTGAAAAAAATGCTGCCGAAAGTTCCAATCACTCTATTGGAGGCTTCAGATAGAATCGGAGGCTGGGTTCGATCTAACAAAGTCGACGACTGCATTTTCGAAGAAGGACCTAGAACTATCAGACCACGTGGCAGCCCGGCTGCCTTCAATACCCTCGAGCTGATCGACGAACTGGGACTCGCAAACGAAATAGTTCCTATACTTTCTAACCACCCTGCAGCTAAGAACCGAATGATATTCGTCAATGGCAAGCTTCATAGTCTGCCAAATTCACTAATTAGCCTTTTCAAAAAACAAGAACCTTTTTCAAAACCTTTAATCCGGTATTTACTAAACGATTTAACTGCCCCTAAGAAAAATGTCAAAGATGAACCTATCTACGATTTTGTAAATAGAAGATTCGGTAGCGAGTTTGCTGACTACCTGATAAGTGCTCTTATTTGTGGTATTTGTGCGGGAAATGCCAAGGAAATCAGCGTCAATTTCTTGATGAAAAATTTGTTTCAATATGAGCAACAATATGGAAATATTACCAAAGGAATGTTGAAGAATTTATTTGATTCGAATAAGGTGAAACCAAAAGGTTTGGCACTGAAGGCAAAAAAAGAGAAATGGAGTGTGTACTCATTCAAAAATGGTTTAGAAACACTACCCAAAGCATTAGAAAATAAACTACTGGATCATAAAGTAGAAATTTACGTGAATACCACATGTAAAGAAATCGATTTACCTTGCATAGATGACAACGGGTTAGTTTTTTTAGCAGATGGTAGGATTTTGAATGCCTTCCATGTTATTAGTACAGTATCATCACAATGTCTCGCGAAGGTTGTTCACAAAGAACACCCTCAGCTTGCAGATTTACTGAACAAAATCAAATGTGTTACTGTGGGTGTCGTCAATCTTAAATACAACAAGCGGTTGATAACAAAAGATGGATTTGGTTTTTTGGTACCCCCAAACGAAAAACTGCCTATATTAGGTGTAACATATGACAGCTGTTGTTTCCCTAATGGTGACAATACCGTTCTTACAGTTATGATGGGTGGTGCCTGGTTCAAAGATCTATTCGGCGATTACCCTGATAAGCAAGATTTATTAAAAACAGCCAAAGAACAGTTAAAAACCACTTTGGGTATTACAGATGAACCAATAAACTTTAAAGTTTCTATTCATCAGAATTGTATTCCTCAATATACTGTCGGCCATACTGAAACTGTGGAAAAAATAAATGCTTACATTAAAAATAATAAATTGTCTTTATCTTTATGTGGTTCATCTTACTATGGTGTTGGGATCAATGATGTGATATTGTCCGCTAAAAATGCTGTTAATGATCTTATGGAGGATGTCTAAGTACAAATTTTCATTGTATGTATAAAATAAATTGAAATGCACTGTATATACATTTTATTATATAAATTATTGTACAATAAAACCGATGATTGTTATTAAGTGGCTAATATTTAATTTACACAGGCATCCTTTCCTGAAAACGTAATACAAAAAGTTTATACATAAAAAGTAAATTTATTCCACAGCATGCTAAGCAATTCAAAACATAGAAAATTCAACAGATTTTTGCTCACTATTAATAAAACAGCAATGTTTCAGCTGAGTCTCTACCTTCGAACACTGAGCAAATAGCAACACTATACATACCAGGATGATTATAAATTTTGACATCAATGCCTTCATTCAATATATACAAAATCAAAACCTAAAGCTAGCAGACATCAAACCTATTGCAATAATAAAAAGAGCATTATATTTTACATGCAATGCATTCAATAACAAACTTAAAAGTACTATCTTTAACAATGGATTAAAAAAATATTTGGCTTCTATGTATTCCCCTTCTGCTGTTTGTTGTGATTTTCTTCAGGAGAGAAATATTTAGTATTAATATATTATTATAAATGGGTAAAAATACATGTGCTATAAATTTTTGAAGTGTTTGACAAATGATTTTATATTCAATAAGACCAGTCTGAAAAGCATTAACTTCAGTATTATTTAAATTTTATAGTGCAAGTAAACCCTTAAGGGTCATGCATAAAAAGTCAAAGTTATTGGTAGCAATATAAATTTTGAAACTGTTTTACTGTTCAAAAATTAAAACCAAAGTGCTGGCCAAAATCGTTTTCCCTTTTAGATTTACTTGGGAATGTTTAGCCTACTATAAGAAAAGTACACTCAAAAAGACCAAACCATGCGTGACTTAAAAAAAAATTAATGTTACCTGCAAACTTGATTTCATCAAAAGCTTTCCTTGCTCTTTTCAGTTCCTCATTCATAGTCAAAAGATCTTTAACCCTGGCATACTTTCTAGGATCTTTTCTAACTAGGAATACAATATCTTCCACTTGGACTCTACCAGTGCGCCCTATTTCCATAGCTCTGAAAGTATTTATCACGTGTAGTTCACGACCGACTTATAGTGTCCGTTTGTTTACATTTTTTTGACAGTTGTTAAAAATCCATAAAATCAAGAAGGCGGTAGCTAGCGTGAACTATTAACATACTTGTGTGTCATCTCTGTGATGAATTCAATGACGAGATCTTCGATGATATCGACACTTTCAGTGTAAGGGTTTTGGTCGTCGCCAAATCCGTACATCATGCATCTCAATTCTTTGCTGAACATCCTTTTTCTGCCCGCACTATAAAGAGCCAAGGCTGAATCAGCTGCATCGTCTTCTTCGAACTGCAAAATGAGGAATGAATCAAGCAAGCTTCATACAAGTAGTTATGAGTGTTGTACCTGTTCGAAGTTTTCTTCTTGAGAAGCCATAAGGGATAGACTTTAAAAAATGATAATTAGCGTAATTAATAATAGTTGTTTTCCAATCTAGCAGGCCCCAAAAAACAAAACACAAATTGACAAATCACTGTCAAAGTCAAATCGTTGTCAATTCATATTCCTAGTAGTAGTTAAGCATGGAGAAGACGAGCTGGTCCCATGCGCCGTTGCCACGGTGTGAAATAAAATCACAATCTGCGAGTTTCTGTTATTTCATTTTGTGATTTTATTATCCATCATGGTATTTCAGGTTACAAAGCTACGTGAAGAGCTTTATTGATATTTTGTCCATATCGACTAAAAATCGATTTTCCCTAGTATAACTTATCAAAATCAATAATTTTTGGAAGCGACTGTGATTACGAATAGGTAGAAACATTGAGTTTTTAGTGCTCTTACTTGTGCTGCTTCGTTATTCTGGGCTCGCTCTCCGTTACCAAAATGCAAAGTTACGTTAGTTACGGGAGAATAAGGGAGAGCTTATTTCATAAGGTCATATTTTCGTTATTCAGTGTTGTTGTCGGAATTCATAAAGATGGCAAAAATTGAATTCGAGCAAATTCAAGCATCAAAACGCAATGGCTGAAATACATATAATGAAAATATAAATATTAGATAAATGTCCTGATTTTTGTTATGCCTATATGACTCTGTGTCAAGGTAGCTTTTTATTCTGGTTTTGGTGGTTTTGTGGCCACTTGTTATTCTGTAGTAACTATTTATTTATTTTCAAGTTGAGAGAACCTATTACACAAATATTATCTAAACGTTTTCATGAAAAAGGTTTTTAAATTCTACAGATATAACTTCACGTCGGAAAAAAAATATATACTCAACCTGTCAATAATTGTTAGTACTGTCGAATTATCACGTTTCTCTTTAGTAGGCATAACAACTCATTTTTGTCGATTTAACGATTCGTTATTTGCGTTGCACTAAAAACTTCATTCAATGTCGAAGGATACCCAAATAAAATAAGCATTATGGAGACGCCAGAAAGGTAATGAAGATCCCAGCGCCATCTATGAGACAATAGTAGAACCAAACACTTTACTTCATTTCAAAGTAGATTTTTAAATTTATATTTATGTTCTGCCGCACTATCTTATAGATTTTCAGCATTAGTATCTTTCAAATACCTTTTCGGACGCCTGAGATACAGCAGTAGTTGGCTACCTTCCAGTATGAATGCTATAATGTATCGTACGCCACTGTTTTTCAATGCCTTTGAGTATGGTGAGATCGCGCACATGTTCACGAGTTAGCAGTGGCGTACGGTGCGTTAGCCTACTTTTTTTCATCTTGGTACTTGACTATACATACCTAAGTCAGGTAGCACAAGCACGTGGAAATCACGTTACAAGCTGATCATGAAGTGGCGTGTTGAAAGACGTAAAAGTAACGTGAAAAGTACCTGTCAGACGTCATATGGCAAACGTCAATTATACGTCACTTGCTGGACGTGAAGATAAAGTCTATTATTTATAATCAACAACCAGTTTTGGCTTCTCCAAAAAATTATGTATTGTGTGAACAGAAGTAAAACACTGACATATAAAAATATAATATATGGTTCAAAGAAGATAGTAGACGTCATTACGACGTCGATATTTGGAACAATTACGTCAGCTGACGAGTTATCACCAAATTTTGACGTCATTATGACGCGCTTGTGCTAGCTGGGAAAGAGTCTTGCAAACTACAAGTGCTGTATGAAATTTCTTGAGATCCCAACAATTTCTACAGTTGCTACGTGAACAGGAAGCAAATCAAGAACGCACGTACGCCTTCGCGGACTATTTTTTCTGTAGCAACTAAAAAAACCGCCCGCTCACAGCAGACAGCTGGCTCAAAGTGTGGGCACAAAACGAAGTGTGTCATGCGTACAAGTCGCGTCTTATCTTAAGCGCCCGCCAAGCCGCGAAGGAAGTGACTCATTCAGTCGCAGCAGGCGCTGGAACGGTTAACGATCGACGACGTTTCGTTGTTTTTTCCGTCGCGCCTACCGTGATCGCCGCACAGCCGATAAAACCGGCCGAACGTTGTGTGCGATACGACTTTCACATGCAAGTGGATTTTTCGATTGTTGCAGCAGGTGAGACTTGATGGATCGTTTGGGAAGGTATTCGGATAGATTGGAAGGTTTGGAGATAGGGAATGGTTGGGTTTTTGGTGAAATATTGTTTTGGTCCTTCGAGCCGGATAATAAATTAAATGTCAAAACCATAGCAGATCGAGCGACGAAAAATCATTGCTTAGAGAACAAAGTATTAATTAATTTCATCACTCCAAATTACAGCCACTAACTTCCCGTTAAAAAAATATGAAAGGGATATAAATTTGTATATATGGTTTTTTGGTCATTCGAGCAGAATTTAGCAGAGAGATATTAACAAAGGCGTATTCGTGATATCTCGAGTGAAAGAAAAATAAATCAACGTTAACTGCAAAGCGAAGACGCTAAAAGCTTTTGTTTAAGATGATACATCCTCAATGTACCTATTCAGTAATGCACAACTTGTGATGATAAATGTTTTTTGAGATAAAAACTGTGAGTGAGATCATTAATCATCTGTCACTATGACCCTATAGTAAATATCGATGTAAAGTTATAGGATTCCATTGTCTAGTGAAATCAAACCACATATACGTTTAAATTTTTGTTTATTCTATGACAATAAATAAACATTGTATTTATGATTACCGGTTTCTAGTTGTTTACATCTGATATGTGTTTTGTTTATTTACAAACGAAAAGCAGGTAGAGGGTTGACGGGGGAGGACAGCGTAGTAGGCTCTCGGCAACGAGCAACTAGGCGGTATGCATGGTCTGACTCTTCGAAGTTTCCTAATTAATGAAATTATTTCACGCATTTTAACGGTTTATTATATGTATATGTATGTGGTTTTATTTGAAGAGACAACGTGAATATGAAAATCAGGGGGTAAGTTTCAGAAGGATTTAAGTATTACGAATTCTAAAAACACCCAACATTGTACACACAAATTTGCTAAAAAATCAAAATCAATTTATTATTTTTTGTTCCTTTGCCATCACAATGCTTCCCTTAATTTGGGCAGTTGGGACGTCAATATCTTTAGCCTCCTGACAAATCTTTTGAAATCACAATGTTCGTAAAAATACTCAATGTTTGGGGTGGCTTAAAATATTTGAGTATCTTGCTTTATTCATCTTTCTCTTGAATCGCGTTTGGTCCACATCGTCTTTGTCTTCCCTCTGTATTTCCGTAAAAAAAGAAAGCTCAAACTAATTATGAATTCGAAAACATAGATGACCAAAACTTTTCTGCGAAAAGAAGATACAAGACAGTTACAGTGAGAAGTCGAACCCAGACATGAGCCTTGTCGACCGATGTTAACGTTTTGTTATGACGACTGTTGCATTGTACGTACTGAGTCATTGACCATCGTTATCTTTGTAGCCGTTCTCCGAAATGGAATTATTGTAGAGATCCCGTATTTTTTCGTCTCAAGGTGCCGTTTTGAATCCAGATAGGTACACCGTTTTTCGCCAAAAATTGAGGGTTGAATTGAACTTTGCTGCACCAGTCAAGAAAACTAGAGAAGTAGAAAACCCATCTAGTATTTTTACCACGTTCATATATGGAACCAATTCCACCACAAAAATATACGAATTCAATATAAACATCATTAAACTCTGACCGATCAATTCCGGATCGGTTTTAAAGGGATCTTAGCGCGAAATGAAAGGTTAGGATTGCCGCAAATTCTGCAACATTGCGTCATTCGTTCGCTTGGCAACACCGCATCTCATACATTCCAAGGCAAGGTTTCCACCTCCACGATCATAGATGAGTGATTTTGGTCAGTAGCCATCTAGCGCTCATTGGGGAGTGTTATCTTGCTTCGAAATGGTTATATTGCGTAAATGATATTTGTCACATTTTTCGACCGCTTGATGTCTTCAAATGTAACAATAACTCAGGATGTGTTGATTTTATCACCATCGGTGGGAATTCTAAAATAAAATAAAACGCACAAGTCGCATCAAAATTGAAATAAGTAATTCTAGTCAAAATGAAAACAAAATATTAAATCAAATGTTCGAACAGATCTACTTCTTGGATTTGACAGTAACCTAACCTATTGTAGAAGCCTGTGCGTGTGCGAACATTTTTCGGTGTGACATATTGGCCACGCGGCAGATTGAATGACATTCTGCGTCACCGTTGCTAGACAGTATAGTGATGACTTTCGCTCTCCAGCCGTATTTTATCTCAAGTCGTTAGACAAGTTTAGTTTGCCCTGTATACTACGGTGGTTCGTGAAGTTCAAAACAAACCTTATTGATGCCTCACTCTCCAATGCTTACCCTGTAAAAATTTTGATGTCTGTTTGATTGCTGTTTTCACGTATTGCAGCATGCAGCTTGACCGTCAGACAAGTTTGGTTTTCCCTGTATACTTTACAAACTATCGCCCAAACTATTCAATATATTCTAAAGCTCTTAGAACTGCGTCGTAGTTATAATATTACGTTGTAATCTATGGAAAATTTCATGAGTAACGCAATACAAAAGACAACATTTTTGTTTAAAAGTGCGAATACCGAAATTAAAATGTTCAATAACAACTTTTCTTTCTTTCTTCCCTTCCTCCTTTTCTTTCTTCGTTCTTTCCTATTTTCTCTCTCTCTTCATGACCGGCCTAGTATCTGGCCAATCATACCTGGTAGACTGTCTTTTTTACGAGTAACCATTACGGCAGAATAACTGCTGCTTATCTAGTAATGTATCAAAATTCCCCATATCGACAAATGACACATACTTCTGACGGATCCGTAAACTAGAGATAGAGCCGTTTTTTTTTTCTACGCTACAGATTCATTTTGTACCCTTTTATTTAGAAAAGTTCATTTGCATACAGAAAGAATACGCTACAAGCAGGTTTTACTAAATTTACACCCATTATTGCCAACGTTACAGACTAATACAAAGATGTCACTTGTTGATCAGCTGTTCACCTCAATAAACGTCAAAACGTGATGGTTCACGGGTATCACATATCTTGACAAGTGACATTATGCCGATTTTTTTTGACATTATGTTGTTTTTTTTTGACATTATGTAGGTTATTCTACAAGATGTTAACATAGCACTTAGTTGTACGTGTTGC